GCCAAGTATGGCAACCGACACATGGACTGGAACGAAGTTCCTGAGGTCGGCAAGAATAGTCTAAAGGTTGCAGTTTGGCATGAACTACTCGAGGAGTTCAAGGAACTCACCAGCTGTGATGTACCCCAGTATGACCCAAAGACAGAAACCCCCGCCGTCAGCACTGTTTGGCCGTCCTCCTCACAGTCCGGCAAATTCATCGAATTCCAGCCAGAGGTAAGACCGACCTGACCCTTGTGATACCGCTCTCACTAACATTCAGCTAGAACCTTGTGTCTGCCATTGGGGCCATAACCTCCTCTCTCCCCCGTACCCAGCGTTTCAACCCAACTGATATTGTTCTTTCTATCGACTCTCTTTCACGGTCCTACCCGCTTTGCACAACTCTGGCTGCACTGTTTGCCAACTCATCCATCGCCCTTAACTCTGTCGCTGGAGAGAATGTTGATTTTGCCTTGGCTACGGCTGGCGTGTCTCCCACAGTCATTGTCGCTTCATCGCAAACCATGGCTGAGTACCACGACAATATCATGCGCCCTCACACTGGTATCATTTCGTCTCTTGGACGCTGGATCCAGGCACGGACTTTGGATGCGGGAAACATGCCGACACGCAACTTTTTCAGCCAATTGGCTCGTGTCAGCCCGACTTCTGAACTTTCGCTAGATGAAGTGCGCCTGCTGTGCATCTCCCACCGCATTGATGGCAACCCTGCTGCCCATCTTACCTCTGAGCAATTGACCGAGCTTAGAATCTTCACTGGGGCTCGGGTTGTGTATGCCTTGACCGGTCCCGGTGTTGCTGGTGCGATTGCCCAAACAAATGCTCTTGACTATAGATGCCTCACCGGTCCTAGCCACTTTGGCGCTCCACTGAGTAGCACGGAAATTACTCTGACTAATGTGCCCGAAGGCTCTTCCGACGACACAGTAGAGGGACAGGTATGCCACGCTCAATTCCACCGCTCTCACCCACAACTAACATTCACGTCTTTAGCTCACCGTCTCTGGCCCTGCTGTTGTCGGCGGCACTATTACTCTTCCCGGCCGAGCCCGCATCAGCAAGAACAATACCTTGGAATTGTGTTTATGAGCGTGTCAATCTAAATTGACCGATTGAAATAGCATTTCTTTGGAACGTACTTGAAACATGAACTGCCTGGATGTTTGGTAATGAAATTGACCAATCATTACCAAACCATTGCGTATATCCCGAAATAGCACCTAGCGGGAATCAGATGTGGCGGGTAATAAAATATCTATTCTCTGAAATACAGGCCAGCTCCAAAATACCTGGGAAGTACAGTAATATACATGCCTATGTGGCTCAATCAACACCAAAAGGAATCACAACCAAGCTCATGCGTTTCCCTCAACCTTTTATTTGAGTTTTGGCTCGAGCAATTGCTTAACCACCTTGTCATCAAGCATGTCAACGTTCTTCACTTGCTTCAATTGCGAGATCAGGACAGGCTGAAGCGCATCGCAGCGAGCCTTGAAAGCCCCAGTATCTTCTGATAACTTGGACATATTAAGGCTCAAACGCATGCCGTTGTAAAGGGCAAGGTTCTCCTCGACTCTCTCAACGTTTCCAAAGCGAGTGGTCGCATCGTCCTTGAAATTGCCTCGGGACCAGGCTGCATCAAGCTTCTGAGCATAGCCACGGACCAAGGATATATCGGCCTCCTTGATTTTCGCACAGGCGGCACTGAGTTCCAAAAGTGTACCGATAACGAAAGGCTGGTGTTTGGGGTCTTCCTCGATATTCGGAACAGAGTGTTCCTCGGCATCCATCAGGCTAGCTGCCTCCCTCGCGAGTCTCAGAGCTTTGACGGTTGGGACACCCTTGAAATCCGCTTTCGCGGCGGTCTTGTGAAGCTCGAAGAACAGACGGCGAGTGATGTTCCTGTTGCTGAGGCTCAAACCGGTACGGTTAGACTGCCTGGCGCACTCGATAATGGTTGAAAGCTTGCCGGCCTCGCTGGTTTTGCGAATAATATACTCCCACCGATCGCTGGTGATGGCATAGTTCGACATCCGGAGTCCACTGAGGTACGGGAAAAGGTTGCTGAAGTTCTTGGTCGCAACCATCATGTTGAGAACCTCGAGGGCCTCTTTCTTCGAGGGCAGCTCGTGGTGCTTCTTGGGCGTAAGAGTGAACTCTTCGTTCTCGCTGATCTTCACGACAATCGGCTCATTTTCCAATTGCTTGGCGTATTTCTCCCTGAACACACTCTTTCTCTGTCGCTTGGGAAGAGCAAGGGGTATGAACAGCTCATTGCGGAACCGCTCCAGGGCTTCGTTTAACTCGGGGGAGGGTGTTGAGGTGAAGGTTGGGATTGCTGTTCCGGTCGACTCCGATGAGCATTTGATGCTATGGTGGATATATTAATGCATACCTGAGTTTGAACCGTAGCTGCGGGCCTGCATCGGTCTCAGAATGGACTGGCGCACCGAGCTGGTGGTGCTCTGGCGGAAGAGCCTGCTCATGGCGATTTGCGCCATCGTGTGTGATCAGAGGCTATGTATGAAGCGATTCAGGGTATGAGAGTAGTAATCGCTTAAACGATACAATTTCCCCAAAGCAACAAGAAAACGAGGTTGATTGGTATCCTGGAGTTGGAGGAGAAAAAACAATCGCGTTATCGTCGAAACCCCCGAACGGGCAACAGGAGGCTTGGCGGAAATTCTGCCGATCCGGCCAAAACTCGACTCCGACTTTCTTGACTTGACATCCACATCACAAACATGGCGGCTCTACCAGCAATGCGCCCGCTGGGCTGCTTAAGGTCCTTGGTGAGGGCTTCAGAGCCTATCCAACCCTTCATCAACCGTCGATTCATTTCGACGGCCTATTCGAAGAGACCTGAACGAGTACCTCTTCCCCCGAACATGCCTCAGCAATTCCTAACCCAAATACCTCTTCGCTTCCGTCCGGATCCTGGTATGTCCTTTTAAATTGAGTTAAAACAACGCGAGCTTTACTGATTATCGCTATCTCATGTAGATCGCGAGCCCCTCAAGATCTACCCTGCTCCGCCATCTGCTCGCAAAGCATGCAAGGATCCCATTGCAGCGGTCACCGAATCGCAATTGGCAGTTCTCGACCCCACGGGTGAGCGCAAGGCAATGTTCGACTACCGACGAAACCCGAAGAGTGTCAAGACCGGCGATATCGTACGAGTGACATTCAAGAACGGCGACCCATTCAACGGAATTGTTCTGAGCATCAAGTTGCGTGGAGTTGACACTTCCTTCCTCATGCGAAACGAACTCACTCGTGTTGCTGTCGAGATGTCCGTCAAGGTCTTCAGCCCCAACGTGAACAGCGTGGAGATTGTTCAGCGATCGGAGAAGAAGCGCAGAAGGGCTAGATTGTACTACCTTAGAGACAAGGCACACGACCGTCGCAGCGTGGAGAATGTTGTGGCCAGCTATGTTCGCCAGAAGAAGGCTTTCTTGGGTGGCGGCAATCGTCGGCGGTGATCGAGTTAGAGGGCGTCTGGCGTGACCCTCATTTGCATACATGTGGCTGTATTACTACCTATCATTTTGTACTTCATCTGTGTTTATAAATTGCGAAATACAACTTTGAGCTCTTCTATTCTAGCGCTCATTCTCATAACATCCATGGATGTTTTGTTGCGACACTTGCCGCTTTTCAACACCTCGGCTCTCTTTCCAGCAATTTTGCTTTCTGTTTTCAACCGCGTGGTGGATGACGACTCCATTTTTTACCTTAAACAGCGAATGAATGTCTTTGCTCAATGTGGATATGGGTTGTCCCTTGCAATACATTTATCTCACTCTCTCTCTCTTAACATGTTTGCAATTGATAAAAGCAATTCAGTTCAATCCTTCGATGCCTGTTCGAACACTCTATTCTTCCATACCTGGAAGAAACGCCTCATCTGCACATCTTCGTGAACGAATGTAGCACGCCCTTCATCCCTCACAGACACAGATTCTATATTCTTGTCCAACAACGACGCGAGCAACCCCGTCTCTCCCATAGCTATTCTCCGAAATGTGTACGGCAGGTTTTTGTGTCCATCGCTCCAACCGGATTTTTCGCCGGAAAGTTAACTAGCTGCCATCAATATTCATATGTATAGTCTCTAACAGTATAGAAATAGCTCGTATCAAAGGAGTCCCCACTAACAATATTCGATGATAGTTAGCGGTTATATTCTAAAAAGCCCCCGGGAAAGACCCTAAAAATGACGGACAGAAAGATGATAACAAAGTGGTTTTTATAGGAGCGCTAGACTTTCTCTACAGGAGTACGAGCGATTTAGATCTTATAGGTATTTTAGAGTAGGGTATATATCGAGTTCATAGAATATCCCTTGAAAATCGAGAGATAATCTCATTCTTACAAGGGCATGTACATTGGTTGGCACGATGGACCCCCCCCCCCCCCCCCCCCCCAAACCTGCCGTATATGTGGCAGTCCAATGATATCCCATATCCCATATCCCATATACTACACTAGAGTCAATGTCATATTAGATCGTGCATTGGTCTTACCCCCATCTAGCTTGAGGTCTCTTGTGATTAGAATACTAAAGTAACTAATAGATGGGACGTTTACACTCGGAGTATTGCTCTCGCTTTTTTTCTCCGTTTTCTTTCTATCATGAGAAACCATATCCTGTCTTTCTCTCTTCATGTCGCTTTCAATAATTAAATGAGCTACACTGAAACGGGTATTAGCCGGGTTCTATGCTTAATCCCATACTGTTCAGAAACACCCTACGGGAAAAGGACTAGATGTCAAGTTTTCATATGTGGAATTTGAGTAAAACAGCATTAGGAAGCTGGCAACATAGTTGTCTTGTCTTTCATCTTGGTAACCGCTATTCCTCAATATAATCAAGAATATGATTCAGGGATCACTTGTTAAATTGAATCCTAGTACACAATTTAAATACGTTGATAATATCCACTCCGATGTTGTATATTCGTAGATGCATGATCATGAAGAGAAGAACCTAACAGTTAATAGATATATCGGAAGCTGTTGGAAACTGTTAGCTTTCTTCTCACCAGATTTGAAGGACAGCAAAATAGAAATAGGACAAGGTAAAGAAACATACTTCAGGTTTTCTCGGTCCGTCAAATCTAAAAACGCAGTCGCATCCAGATCTCTCCCCTCGAGACCACCCTCCATCTGGGATTGAATACGATCGCGCTTTTGATTTTCCCAACGCAGCAATAGACCAAGGATGCAGATCAAAACGACCTCAATCAAGTGCGAGACAATCATGGACCAGATGCCGAGCGGATAGGAAGGCCTATGGGTCGTGTTAGCTCTGATTCTGAATAATAATTGAATTATGATCAGGGAAAAACGCACGATTGATCGGTTTTATAGAAGAACGGCCCGGCAATATTTCCAGTGCAGTACCCCAAGAAGAGCACGGCGTTGGTGACGACCTTTTTGGTATGGCCTGGATTTACAATGGCATTAGTCTATGTGGTCTTTTGAATTGAGCCTCAACCGAAGAGAGGTGTTACTTACCAGCGGTGTTGGCCATTTGCATACTCAAAACGAGTACAAATGCAGCATTGTACGGGCCTGTGAGGTAATAGCAAATCAGGCGACCCACACTGTGTTCAACGGGAACAAATCGAAGACCGAAGGAGCCGGCAATGTTAGGAATCAGGAAGATGAGGATGAACACGCATCGTCGATTTTCGTAGCGGTCGTTGAGGAAGACGCATGTCAAAATCGAGAGAGCAATGATACAGCCGTACGGAATCTACGGTGCATATCGTGTTAGCTGAAGATTATGTGACTATCAAATTAATCATACCTGCATGAGAGTGGTCACCAATGTTGAGAAGCCGAACCCTTTAATGATGATAGTGCCAAAGTTCGAGATACCACCGTTGGGAATATTGCCTGTGTACGTGTTAGTTGGAACCGATTTAGACATGGCACGAGTCACATACAAACAGCACCAAGAGTGAAGAAAATGTAAAGCTTGTAGTCCATGAAAGCCTCCAAAACCTGGTACGGTTTAAGATGTTTGTTCTCGACCCCAGTCTGATTTTCTCGCAAACGCTCAACAGCCATGCGACGTTCTCTCTTGGTAAGACCGCGAGCTGTAACGGGTGAATCGGGGAGGAAGAGAAACATGACGATACCCCAGGCAGAACATAGGGCACCACTAAACAAGGTTAGTAAGATAAGTAGTCTCAATGGGGGTCGAGAATCCGCATACATCACCAGAAACTCGTATTTCCAAGATGGCAGTGCACCACGAAGGTGACCAATCCCGTAGCCCAGTAGCCCGCCCAATGCAATACCGAGGCCATTCGCTGTATACCACAGTCCGATACGCACTGGCTGTTCACGACGGGTATACCACATACTTGTGATTAGCATGAAAGCTGGGTCAGCGCATGCCTCGGCGGCACCGCCAAGGGCTCGAAGAACGGCGAGGGTCTCAAAGCTGTTACAGGCAGCTTGGATCATGAGGAAGACACCCCTGGAAGAGGAATGTTAGTAACTAGTTGTATTATCTTCGATATCAGTCCCACAAACCACATGAAAATATTCGCACCCAGATATTTCCCTAAAACATGTATCAGATGGATATCCAATTGTTAGGGTTATGATAAGGTAGTCATACCGATTGGAAGACGCTGCATCAGAAAATTGGTAGGGAATGCCCATGCTAGAAAACCAAAATAGAAGATACTGCTCAGCCAGCTATACCGAGTCCCATGTAGATCGAGATCTTCCCGAATCCCAAAAATAGCAGCATAGCTCAACGTTGTCTGTTTCCAAAACGAGTGCTATTAGCACAGATATTCGGCTAAAAACTCCGTTGAATCAAAGAGGCTGACCTTATCAATGTAGAAGAATGCATAACAAACAGCCAGGTAGGGCAGGATCATGAAGTCAATCTTCCACAATAGCTTCCTCGCTTCCACCGGATCGACTTCCTCGTGGAGCTCATCCGGGTCATCGAACAGCGCCATGGCTGTGTCGCCGTCGACATTTTTGGCGGACTTAAATCTGGAGTGTACTTGATTGCTTTCTGCATGGCTGATGGTGGGAATTTCGGCGACATTGGCCTTTGAGTCAACATCGGGTATATGGTTTGCCATAGTGGAGTTATGTTCGTATAATAAGAAGTGGAGAAAGGAAATCTGAGATTGGGCCAGACGGGAGAATATATATAAAATATACCAATGCCGTATGGGACGGCATGAAAGGTATAAAGTGATAATGACCTCGGGACGCCACCGACTCTCCCTTGATCCAAGTCAAAATTGAAAGGGTTTGAGCAGCCATCTCTTGCTTCCCCGCGAATTTCAGAGCCTGCCTGCCTCAAGTGGACTAGCGAAGGATCATCTGAAAGGCTCGTCTGCGGGGAAACTCCAGAACGGGGCCCCCACACGGCAAGCTGATCTGGTTAAAGCGTGGGGAAGGTCTTGGCTGACAAGTAGAGCGTCTGGTTTGTTGCAGTAACGAGTCTGGCTGAAGCCCAAACGCTGCGCAGGACAAAGCCGGCTATTATGGTCGGTGGAAGTCCGAAGACTCGGGGATTATGCCGCTGGATGACTTACTGAAGTTAGTTCAACTTATTGCTGGGCGATAATGCAGGATATTACATTTGGCGCATCAAGGCCACCATAGGCTTTGCTTAAAACCTACTGCTTAAACCCTCGGGTTTGCTGCTAGAATGAAACTGAAGAAGCAACATACTGAAATAGATAGAGAAAAATAGCAGAGAATAAAGAAAACCCTCCTAAGGTAAAAGGAGAAAGAGAAGGAAGAAGGATGTTTATAAGTCAGCCCCATAGATCAAAGATAGCAATAGCTTTAACCGAGTGATATATTCTATAAAAATCCTCAGACATGGCAAGACGCTCTTTTATAATAAAGCCAAGAAATGCTCTTCGGTATTTATAGCGCGGGAGTTTCGTGAAGCAGCCAAGAAAGCTAGCGTTGCAGGGGTAGGATATATACCGGATTGTACTAGTGAGAGAGTATCCCAAGTTATACATGGAAGATCCATGTGCTTGTGAATTCAAGGCCCTAGAAATATTATCCAAAAAATATACCTAAATAGAATATCTGAAAAGACCACCGAAAAGACCACTAAAGATACATCAAAAGGCCGCATGTGGCCCACTATTCTTATCCATATTAATTACAGACCACTGGTAAGATCTGCAGCACTAGAAATTATGGTTAGAGATCGTGGGGAATATAAATACTTTACTATACTATTGTGGCAGTACCCCCGTAAGATACAGTGCTCTTGCGTCGAGCCGGCATCCCCTTTAGTGTCAACTTTTAAAGAGCTGCGAACTAAGGTTGGAACGCGTTGATTACGAATCTACTAGAATCGAGAGAGTAGGGCATCGTTGCAAGAGGTATCAAGGTAGTATGTATTTATACAGCTGCTTAGCAGTGCTTTTGTGTGTTGCATCGATGCTAATATAGAGACCGGAACTTACGCCCCGGATAGAAAGGCTAACCTGAGCTTATGCTTCATTTGGTGTTTGGTCATACGCGCCAAATTTGCGTGCTGATATCTTCTGTTCAAACATATGATCTAGCTGCTCAAAGGTCCTGCCTTTGGTTTCTGGCAAACAGAAGTAAGTCCAAACAGAGGCAATAATGGAGAATCCACCAAAGATAAAGCCTGTCTTACCCCGGAGGTTACCTTCATCGGGGTTGATCATGTAAGGCACGGTAAGCGTCATGATTAAAGTCCAGAAATTTTGCGTGAAGAAGCCAATGCTGACGGTGTATGACCGCAACCTAGTAGAAGACATCTCTCCGCAGATCACGTATCCAAGAGGTCCAAGCGTGAGATCATAGAAGAAGTTCCAGATGATAATCAATACACACTGGCCCGTAGCAATGGAGGAGTTGTAATTTGGCACAATGTCGAGAATGCCAATGATGAAGAGAATGGCAGTCAGAACGAGCATGCCAGGGAAGAGAGCTCGGCGACCGATGGTGTTGATAACGAACCACGAGCAGATATTTCCGAGTACACCAACTGCTGTCACGCCAACGCCCATGTCGAACGATGCAGAGGTAGGGATTCCGGCGACTGTTGGGAAACATTATTAGTAAATAGAGATGACTTGTTGGCGGGGGGAGACTTACTTTGGAAGAAATAGGTTGAGTAGCTGAGTACAAAATTGACACCACTGAAAGAGTTGATAGTCCAAACGGAGATGATAATCAGGGTTCGACGAAGATCAGTTCCTCGGAAACAATCCAGATAGCCAGCGGACGATGCCGATTCCTCTTCTATCCGAACTGTTTCTTGGATCTCAATGAGCCAACTATCAATGCTTCCGCCAGTCTGGAATCGTTCGAGGGACTTTTTGGCCTCGGTATGCTTGCCCCTTTGGACGTACCAGTAGGGTGATTCAGGGCAGAACCACACGCCAGAGAGAAGGATCGCCGGGAAAACCCACTGGAAGGCAAAGGGGATTCTGTAGGCAAAAGTGTCTTGTTGCCCACCGAAGGCCTTAATGAGGCAGTTACCGAGGAGTTGACCGATGACAACAAAGACATTGACCATGGCAATGGTGATTCCGCGAAGCACGACAGGGCAGGTTTCAGAACAGTAGGCACATGCGGTGACGAGGAACATGCCGAGCGCGATTCCGTTGATCAATTTTCCAGCAAGCAGAACTCCTCGAGTGAATGCAAAGAATTGTAAGAAGACGGAGCCACTTGAGATGACACATGCGATGGTCAAAGTCATCCGTCGACCCATGTAAGGTGAGAGGGGACCGCAGAGCAGACTCCCACCCATTCCACCAACTGTGGCGATCATATTGAAAGCAGCTTGCCATTCCGCTGGAAGGATAGTCGTGCCATCGGGTTGGGTGTATCCAAACACCGCGCGGAACTCGGGTGCGGCAAGAAGACCACCGCTGACTTGCATGTCGTAACCCCAGAGGATAGCAGAGAAGCAGAAGAACAGACTGTATAGCATGGCATTCCGGTAACTGGTAAGAGCTATTTTCAAGCTCATAACAGATCCTGAGACTTCATTGAGTTGTTCAGACTTCTTTATATTGGTGGGATCCATCGTCGGTGTAGCCTCCAGATGGACGCTTTCAACAGGCTTCTCTTGATCAAGACCCATAATGGAGGAGGATAAAAAAGCGAGAAAAAAAGAAGAATGGACAAAAGTGTCCAAGGGAGATTTGGAAGAGAATCAAGATAATTCAAAGCGTTCTTCTGCTGCTTAGTGGGGACTTTCGTAGATTTAATACTCCAGGCTTCTCATACCATGTGCCCACTACCTCCGCATTCTTCCCGGCTTCGGGGTACAAATTTTCAGCCTCGGGTCATGCTCACAATCTGGGGAAGTTAGCTGCGACTGAAGGGGCTAAAGTACCCAGTTAGACGAGAGTGAGACACTTTTCGGGTTCCCGATATCCCCGTCTAGATCCACGTATCCACGTGATCCGATGGGATTGGACATCTTCGCCTTTTGTGGCATCGGAAATCATCTTAAACATTGTGGATCTCGACGGCTCCGATTGACGCGGTGCCGGTACACCCGGAGGATGTCTATTGGTTAGGGAATATCCATCCTCTCCGCAAAATGAACCCCACAACTCATTGGCTCCGATAGACCCGGGATAGAAATTGGAGAAATGGGGATAACTACATGCCGACGAATCTTTCACCCCCATAGGGTCCATAAAATGTGTAACATAATCTCAGCTGCGCGTCTCAAGTTGCGACGTCATTTAGTCATCTAGTTCAAAACTCTGGTATAAAGATGGCAGAGTAGCAAAGCTGCCCCAAACTCCCTAGACGACCTGAGAAGTCCGAATTCATATCAAAATTCCCATTCCATCACCATGAGTTCTCCTCAGGACAAACAGTTGGCCCTGCAGGCCGACCCTGAACGGCCCGACTTCATGAACCCCGCGGTTTTTCGCAGAAATACCCTCCCCGCGCGTTCTTATCACATTCCCTCTACATCTCTGCTTCTTAATGGGGCCTGGGAGTTCAATATGTCCCGATCACCACCGGAGGCGCCGGAGCCTAATGAGAAGACCCCCGACGAGTTCTGGTCGAGTATTAATGTTCCAGGCCATTGGCAGTTACAGGGTTGGGGAAAGCCGAATTACACCAACACACAATTCCCGATCCCAGTGTGCCCTCCCTTTGTACCCACCGAAAATCCCACGGGTACATACCGCCGGAAATTCCAAGTGCCGGCCGAATGGAAGTCCAACAATACAGAGATTCGTTTGCGATTTGACGGCGTCGATAGCGCGTACCATGTTTGGGTGAACAAGTCCTTGGTCGGGTATGCGCAGGGCAGTAGAAACGCTTCTGAATTCGATGTGACACCATTTTTGCTGGAAGGTGACAATGAAGTCTTTGTGCGAGTGTATCAATGGTCAGACGCTACGTATATTGAAGATCAAGATCAGTGGTGGCTATCTGGTAAGATTTAAATTGCGATATGCCACAGTGGGAAAGGCGCATTTGCTAACCTTGGAATATCATGATAATAGGTATTTTCCGAGATGTCACTTTGATTGCATTCCCAGCCGACGATTGTTTGAATGACTGGTTCATTCGCACAGACCTCGACTCAGAATACAAAAATGCGACGCTTCTCGCAACGATCGATTATCAAGCCTCGGAGCGAAGCACCGTTGCACTCAATTTGATTGAGTCAGTGGACGGCACCAGTCATGTCATTACTTCCACAGAGTGCACTGTGGAGCCAGAAACATCTGCAGTTGAGCTCAGATTGCCTGTTGCCAACCCCAAAAAATGGACTGCTGAGCAGCCGTATCTTTATGAAGTGGAGATGATTCTGACAACTCCTGATTCTAACAAGAAATTCAAGACCACGCAGCGCATCGGCTTTCGCAAAGTTGAGCGCAAGGGTGGCTTCATCACCGTTAACGGAAGGGCTATTCAGCTTCGTGGAGTCAACCGACACGACCACCACCCAATTATGGGTCGTGCCGTGCCGCTGGACTTTATGAGAAAAGATCTTCTTCTCATGAAAGCTCACAATGTCAATGCCCTCCGCTGCAGCCATTATCCTCCCGACCCTCGGCTTCTGGACATGGCTGATGAGCTGGGCTTCTGGATTATCGACGAAGCTGATCTCGAATGCCATGGCTTTTATGACGCTGTCTCACGGCCAATGAACATGGACGAAACTCTTGGCTACGAGGAGCGCAAGGCAATGACCTTCCCCAAATGTGGTGCCCATACATCAGACAATCCTGTCTGGCGGGCAGCCTACGTTGATCGAGTTCATTCCCTGATTCAACGAGACAAGAACCATACTAGTGTTATCATCTGGTCTATGGGGAATGAGTCTTTCTTCGGCACATGTCACCGTTCCATGGTAGAGTATGCGCGGGCGTTTGACGGCACTCGCTTGATCCATTACGAGGGTGACATGGATGCGGAAACCACAGACATGTACAGTTACATGTATCCAGAAATTGACCGCTTGAAGTCCTTGGCAGCCACAGAGGGCGTTGCAACCAATGGAGAGTTTGACAAGCCTATCATTCTTTGTGAATACGCCCATGCCATGGGCAATGGGCCGGGTCTGCTTACGGATTATGAGAAATGTTTCGACGAGATCCCGCGTTTGCAGGGTGGTTTCATCTGGGAATGGGCCAACCACGGGTTGTACGTTGAAGGAAACAGCAAAAAAGATGGCTTTTATGCCTACGGTGGTGACTTCGATGACTATCCTAATGATGGAACATTCGTGATGGATGGTCTCTTGAACAGTATTCACCAACCTCTACCAGGTCTGTTAGAGTTAAAGAGAGTTTTTGAGCCCATCAAGCTGGAAGTCCGTGGAAAAGTCTTGACTTTGAGAAACCGGTACAACTTTTTGGACCTAAGCCATCTCCAAGCTTCCTATAAGCTTGAAGCATTTGACAAGCAGTGAGCGCACTCCCTCATTTAAACAGATTGAAGACAAACTAACTTTCCACCCCAGAAAAAATACCTTAGCAACTGGATTGCTGGAGCTGCCCATTGTGCTTGCCGGGCAATCTGCTGATATTTCTCTCCCGGCAGAGCTCTTCCAACACAACGCCCATCCGGCCTACTTGACTGTTACACTTGAACAACGAGGAAAAGTTGAATGGGATCAAGGGTCTTACGTCGTTGCCTGGACACAAGATTTGGTATCAAAGCCAACCGAGAATGCCCCAGTCAATGGCCTGAGCTCTGCTCAGGATACTATCTCGACCAAGTCCACCAAGACAACGGTGTCTGTCAACGGAGCCAACTGGTCCTTTGAATTTGATCGCATTCGGGGGCATCTCAAGAACTGGACATACAACTCAACGTCTATTCTTGAGCCGCATCCCGACACAGGGCTTGCCATGGTGCCTGGTTTCTGGCGTCCTCCGACGGACAACGACGTACCTTCTGCGATGCCGTATTGGAAACGATTCGGAGTGAACTGTCTTACAAACCAGCTCCGGTCTTTCAATACGTCATCAATGGAGGATGGAAGTGTTGAGGTCGAAAGCGAGACATTCATCTCCCCTCCAGTCCTTTCCTGGGGATGGAAATGCATTGCGCGTTACACCATCGAACCCAGCGGCTTGTTGTCCATCACCGTAAGCATGCAGCCCACTGGAGCCGCACCGACAACTGTTCCGCGTGTTGGTCTCAACCTTCGTGCAAACTCTGACCTGCAATCCGCACGTTGGCTTGGACTTGGTCCTGGAGAATCGTATCCCGACAAGAAGGTTTCCCAGAAGTTTGGTTTGTGGAATGTTGATGACATCGAATCCCTACAGACAGTTTATGACATTCCGCAGGAGAATGGAAACCGTATAGACACTGCATGGGTTGAACTTCTCGCTCCCAATGGCACTGGCTTCCGCGCAAGCCCACAGGAAAGCACTGTGGTGAATGGAGGAACGGCAAGCTTGAGCTGGGCAGCTAGTCAGTACTCCGATGAGACCATTGAGGCTGCACGGCACCATTGTGATCTCATCAAAGATGACGCGGTGTTTGTGAGATTGGATAACCAAGTTGCAGGTGTAGGCAGTGCAGCCTGTGGCCCGGGGCCTATGGATGAGCATCTAGTTAAGGTGCAGGATATCGCCTTTGGTATGCTATTAGAGCCTGTATCTTTGTGAATTCTAGAGGCTTGGACTTCAATTTGTTAAATAAGATACATTACCTTGTATACCCTTCACATCATTCAAAGAGAGGCTTTAATCTTTCCATCTCGGTCCAGATATCTACAAAACCAAGGTAGTGCGTCAGAAGTAGAAACAGTCGCCCTGGGATGTGGATTGGTGATCAGTAGACTTGTAAACGCAGTAATAGTAGTCTCTGGATTTGCAACAAGATATGGGGAAAACCTATCCACTGGCCAAACACCCATAGTGAGACTAGTTCAAGTATGGAAACTAAATGAAAGTCTCCAAATCCCATAGACCCCTACTCAAATCTACGCGCCGCTCTGGTTCCACTCACTTTCATCCAGACAAAAGTATATATTTAGTGATGCCTGGGGGTTTATGACTCTTATCCGTTTCCGAATCTGTCTTGCTATGAGAATCTGGAATGGCCGAAGTGCTCTTGTATAAAACTCGAATCTTCGCGCTAATACAAATTTTGACTTAGTAAATTGAAAGGATTGTGTATAAACAAGATTGAAAATTGTGATTTTTTGTCAAAATAGCGTGGCGCCCACGTGTAGCCCCAAGAGGCGTTGTGCCATGGGAAAATGGCATCACGTGCCCCCCGCGTTGGCATCGAGGCCAATCCAACTTTTCCGCTTGTGTTTTCGCCTGCGTCATTGATTGGTTCATTTGCTACCAATAAGAAGCTCATTGCTGAAGCTAAAAGTTGCCAGGGACCCCTCATACTAGTATCCTGGCTCGAAATGAAGAGATTTAGGGCGGCTCGAGCGGTCTGTCTCCCATTCTCTCCTTGTCGGGAACTGACCAGTTGAGTCGAACATTGAAACTAATCCAACCCACAGTGCGACTCATGCCGCCAGCGAAAAACAAGGTTGGTCATGTTTTATGTGATCTTGTGGCACATGGTTAATAAACCCGACAGATGTGACGCGCGGGATCCCTGTGGACCCTGTGTGAGCTTGAACCAAACGTGTCTATACGGAACAGAAGCTACTTCGTAAGTGAGTTGGTGCCGTCTTAAAGATCAACAATTAACATCTGTTTAGAAGAGGGAAAAGTGAAATGATCTTGGATACGGTCTTGCGAATGGAAGCTTCTATTGACGAACTTCGGGGCATGGTCGTATGTAACGAGTGGCCAAATGTCATTTCTTGCTCACTGATGATAAATTCCAGGCAATGGGTTCCTGTTCAAATGTGATGAGTGGCATGCAGGCCAATTCGACGTCCCGGGGTTCGACAATTACCCCAATGTCTCAGGATGCACGCCATCATCCAGGCGGTTGCACAATCAGGGACCCCACTGAAAGTGCTGTCCTTTCGTCAGGACATCTTTCATCGGCAGAGTCTCTGTTGAAATGGCCAGTCTTTCGTGGTCATCCTTCAATATTGGAGGAGGCAGAGTCTTCATTTTTGTCACTCGAATATGGACGACCGTCATTTCAAAGCAAACTCTATGGCATATTTCCCAGCGTGGGTTTGTCAGAAGTCAAAAATATGGTAGGCGCATTCCAACGGACATATAACTTTTGGTTCCCTACGATCAGCTTGGACGATCTGAAGTCATTGCAATTGAGGATATGGCAAGAGAATTTGGAGCCTAGTTGTCAATCATGTCTGGCGTTATTGGTCATGGCCTTGGGTTGCGTTGGGGCTTCCGTGACAGAGGACAGTTCTGAAAACAAGTCTCAACAACTGAAGCTTCAAGGAGCGTCATGGTTCACAGCCGCCATGAAGATGCTTCACTTGGCCCACATCGAGATGAATGTGGAGGCATGCCAATGCCTCTTGCTAACTGGGTATGACAACATTTTTACGTGTCAAAATGGCGGGTCAAGACGAAATTAACAAATATCTACATGTAGCCTCTACTTCTCCTTTTTGCAAAGACCGTTGCAAACATGGTCTTATGTGAACAGCGCAGCAACTCGTTGTCGGTTCCTGCTCTCTTGCCCCTTTAACAATCCTGAGCGTGATGATCAAGAACATATCACCAGAATATTTTGGTCGTGCTTTGTACTAGAAAGGTAAGAACAGGAGATGACACTTTATGTTGATCACCGTCTGACTGGCACTAGCAACTATATCTCCGAGTTGCCATCACTTCCACAAAACTGCAATGCTGAGATCGAATCAATATTTTCTCTTCCGGGCAAATTTCACTCACACGAAGCTATCGAAGAGGAAGAAAAGTCGACCTTCTACTTCCTTGCATCGATAGCACTCCGTCGCTTACTCAACCGAGCTCACTACATGCTCTATGACCGCGAAATTGGCCTTCAAATTGATTCCAATAATTTTCCTTCCGTGAACCACGAACTGGCTCGCCAGCTGCAAGACTGGTATCACACACTGCCTCCAAGTCTGCAATTCCCCGAAGACGGAAAACCTGCAGACGATCCGCATAGCGAGTATTTGAGGCAGTGGTATCTCAGCTGTCGAAGTGTTATCTATCGACCTTATCTGGAATGGGCTCTCGCTAATCCCTCGTGGGATCTCAACAACAACCTGCGTGTGCTGGATGGATGTCGGGTTGCTCTTGACACTTGCCTATTCAAATTAAGATACATGAAACAGGTGCCGTATACCGTCATGGTAGACACATGGCCATGCTCGCTTTCGTAAGTGTCTGATCCTCGAAGCTTTCTTGTGCATTGTGCATTATTGCTGATACAACGAATTGTCTCGTTAGACTCGAGACGGCGATGTTGACTCTCATGGGCGGCTTCTGTCATCCACAGCTGACAATGCAGCTTCGTCACATTGCCTTGCTAGAGCTAGGGCCTCACCTGCAGCAGCTTTTACAACGATGGATGGCTATCCATGGATCCTCCGTTTCTCCTGGTGTTGAGAAAGCATTGAGATTGATCATGAAAGCTCACGAGTTCTTCGAAAGCAAAAGCGCAGAGTTTGCTCCTTGCCAAGAGGAAGAACAACATCTCTCTCCTCGGTCCCTTCGAATGTCTCTCAGATAGTGGCTTAATGACCCTTTTGGGAAAGTCTAGGCAAAGTATGCCTTTTTGCAACTATGAAGCGACCATCAACCTCGAACCATCAACACGGTTCGGAAATGGCGTGCTTAAGTCGAGAGTTGGCCGAAATCACCTACAGCGCGAAGGGGTGATGCGTGTTGACTGAAGTCTCATCGGAGAGACGGTCACCTGGCTGCCCGACATTATTGCGCTCACTGCCATATTCAATCGCTACGCACTTCACCCTGTTTTCTGCTGTCCACTGGTATCCCGGTGGAGTCAATAACATCTTGAAATTCGTCGGAAGCATCCCGAAATTTATTATGCGTCTACTCTCCCATGGACTTGAAGGACAATCAATCATGAGCTAGACTCCAAGAAACTGTGTGCTACTAATGCACATGGCCCCAAATGAAGGCTGATATGGATAAAACCTCATTTTCACAGCGACCAACCAGGCCCCACGTGTGGATGGTCCTGTCAATGGCAAGGCTTTCCATGTGGGAGAACAAGGGCCGAGTACCTAGTGATGAAGGGAATCGCTCTTTCCTGGGGTCACCGATGAATACGTTTAATCAACATTCTCGCGGTCACCACCTGGTAGGGGTCCCTTTCCTTCGCTTTTAAATGATTGATCGAGTCTCCTTGCAGGCCAAAGCACACACGGTCAATACATTAAGACATGGCCTGATTTAACCCACAGGATTTATTTGGTTATGGTGATATGATTGGTCTCAGGGTTTTCAGTTCTAAACAAATTAAAGGAATTTATTGTTGGGGTCAGGAGCCGAGTCTTTTTGTCCCTTGCCTAACAGAAATACAACCATCCACTCATCAAATCGGGCCTCCCCTAACCCGTATCAACACAAGTCTCTATTGGCATGCTGCGCCAGGCTCGCAATTTAGGCTATCCTAACCTTTAATTGCTATATCTCCATGTGTGGGAATCGCTCACGCGTTCAGGCAAACATGGAGAAGGGTTGAGCAGAAATCCCTAAAACCAACCTCCGTAGATACATAGTTAGATAGGATTTTGTATGTGATATCACCATGTTTTGCTGACACTTGTTGGTTTTCAAGGCACCTCCATATCACCGAAACTTGGAGGCCACTCAGGCATATATGTATAGAATTCGAGATGAGACGATATCGAATCCAATACTCGGGTTTGATCTGACATTTACTAAGATCCCAAGACACTTCAAATATAACAGAGTATTCTATTGCAGGAGAGCAAAATCTGAAAAGTAAGCGCCCAGCCATAAAGTAACTGTGACAGCAAAGACATCCAATGTCTCTCACGATATCAATGCCTCAATAACATCCAGTCACTCGACCAATTTTCGAAGTCACGTTCCGTCTCACCTTCCATATTGAGCGCTCGCCTAGCCTCAGACAGTTTCTCACTCTCTTCTATCTCTTACAAAAATCCCATGCATGCATTCTCTGCTATGTTAGCATTCTCAACGTGATTGCTTTTCGCACTGGCCTTGCCCTAGATGGATCTACTTCAATCCTTGAAGAGAGATGCCAAGAAGATCCGGAAAAGAAAGACCCCAGCAATAAGCCTGTGGACCCGCCAGGAAAACCCCCTGAAGTCAAGACATAACCCAGATCTACACCCTGCAATGACCAAGGAGATGATCAACTTATTCCGACAAAAGGGAAACGACTACCAAACCTGGATCAATGACCCAGACGACACCAACTGCCAAAGGCAATGTACCGTTTCGCCATCCACACTAAAATTGAACGAGCTGATACAACCCTCCGACGACAGGAATCGATGGGACGCATACTTTAATGCGTGGGTAGACGCACCCGAGGAAATCGGGGACCCTCGTCCACTCAATCTTCCCATTGGAATGGATTACCACCAGTTATATCTTCGCAAACTTGGAATCGAGAAAGACGGTTCTGTGGCTTGGAACAAGTACCACGGACGTGTGGTACATACTGCGATCTTCGCTGACAACAATGTCAGACTTGATGGTCCTCAATGATCACAAATTGCTCAGGCTCACTATCAAGGTTTCTTCGATATCGATTCTTTGAAACATGTTTTTCGGATGACGGTCGTCAATGAGGAGACTCATACCTTTGTGGATAAGGTGCTTTATCCGAGATATGGACTTGAGCTCGTGGGAGATAGTCAAATGAGGACATGGCTGTACCATACTGATGATTATCGGGAAACGATGGGGACTCCGTTGGGGAAGGCTGTTGGTGCCCTTGTTTTGGGGGCTATCCTAGGGGTACACGTCGCATTATTCAAATTCTTACTTGGCAGTATTATGGGGACCTGCAGATGAGATTTGATATTTCACGGGTCTTCCTGGGCCAAGACTAATCGAGCTGGCTCTCTATTTAGCTTTTGACCAAGAGGTTTTAGGGCCTCGGTGCTTCCGAATATATCTATTTATGTGCTCTTTCGATAACTACATGTAAGTTTCCGCAGTTCTGTATATTTACAAGCGTTTGAAGCTTGTAACGTCTGGAAAACCCAGTAGTGCTACTCCCATGCAATGTTTGCTCTGCTCTATTTCTTCTAGTTACCTTGCGTCAGTGAAGGGTTGGGGTCGCTACGATGTTACTACTTCAAAGGGGTCAGAGTAAGGAGGTTTCGATATTAGAAAGAAAAAACTCATGCATTTTTGGATTAAATTTTGAACCACATATTGTGGTCTGGATGGGAAGGATATTCTACGCAAAGGCACTTTACGGTTAGTCAATTTGACGGGGATTAGCAGGACCATATGTTGCTGTTTATCGCCGGTTGAAGTTCAAGAAGCGAGACTATATCAAAACCAGTTAGCGTCACAATCACAAAAGTAGAGAATATATCCACTTACCGCGAGGAACAAGATAGCCAGGTTGGACACAATGAATGCAGCGAAGATACCCAGATCCCGCCACCTGTTATCAAAGGACATACTGAAGGTCGCGTAGAACTCTTCTCCAACCTTGTACGCACAGTACTTGCAGGCCTGCGCCGCATCATCGACAAGGTATCCCTTACCACCGCGCTCAAAGAACGGCTTCATGTACTCGCCACAGGTGAGATTATCAGGGGCATTGAAAAGATTCAGCTCCTGCTCTGCGCAAACCACATCCCGGCCCTGCAGCTCTGTCACGACCATGCCGCCGATCAGGCGGGTGAATGGATCGAGCTGGTATAGCCATGCGCGCCAGAAGCCTGGCATCTGCGGCTTGGGGATTGCAACGCCACAGAATAGAGAGAAGATAATCACGATCGGTGGGTTAAACTGGGATGCGATGAAGCTGTTGGGTGTCAGGGCTGAGATCATCTGGCCCAGAGTCACGGAGAACATCTCTGTGATGAGGATTATGAGGAACTGGTAGCCCGCTCGGCTGGACTCGGGTTGGAATCCGGGGATGTAGTACAGTGGGAGGAAGAAGCAGACGGCGCACAGGAGACTGTAAGGGATTTCGGCGACGACCAGTGATAGTGCAAAGGCGAACTGGCTGTAGGTTTTTGAGGCGGATTCGCGGTAGAAGATCAGACGGGCCATGTCGTACCGCGGTTGAACCATCTGCAAAATGATAGCAGGCAGGACGGTAACGTTGAAAATAACAAAAATGCGGTATTGAAGCGAGGATCGGGAGTCGTCAAGGTTCAAGAATACAAGACCGGTGATGATGGAAATCACAACATGGGTGTAAAGCCTGGTGAAACCATAGTTTCTTGAGCGCCAGAATGATAGATTGGTCCGTCGACCGACGACCTTGATCTGGTGCCAGAGAGGTGAAGCGTATTCTCTATCCACCTTATTCTCGTCATGATTGTCCCGGACAGCCTGCGCACGAACTTCCTTGATCTGGATGATTTCCTTTTTAACTTGCTCCAGCTCAGGAGAGGTGCGCCAAATGTCGCCCCAGTCACGGTCTCCGATCCGACGTGTTTGGCCAGCGCCGATGGCATCGAGCATCCATTCAGCCACGTTAGAATCCGGAGGGCACTCGGCTCCATTGCGACGGAAGTAGTCCAACAGGATCTCGGAGTCAGGGCCAATGTCACCGTGGTAGATGCATTCGCCTCCTCTTTGGAGTAGGAGCAGACGATCAAAGCTTTCGAAGAGAGCGGCGTTCGGTTGATGGATGGTGCAGAGGATAGCTTGGCCAGCTGCTGCTAGCTTCCGAAGGAAACGAACAATGTTCCAGGCGGATTGGCCGTCCAGACCAGAGGTAGGCTCATCCAAAAACAGAAGTAGCTCAGGTTTCGCCGCCAGTTCGACGCCGATTGTGACTCGCTTTCTTTCTTCAACCGAGAGACCAGTTTCAGGTGTACCGATGATTGCATCTGCCAGATTTTCCAACTCCAAGAGGGTTAGGATCTCTTCCACGTAAGCGTACTTTTCCGATTGCGGAGTTTCAAATGGCTGGCGTAGATCCGCAGAGAAACGCAGTGCTTCTCGTACTGTTTGCATGTCCTCATGAACATCAAGTTGCTCCGCGTAAGATGTACCTCTTTGGAACGCGGTGCCCGGTGGCTTGCCGTCGACGAAAATATCGCCGGTAATAACACCAATGTTCTTTCTTGCCGCCAAAACGTCCAGCAGCGTTGTCTTTCCTGCACCGGATGCTCCCATGAGTGCTGTCAACTTTCCGGGCTGAACATAGCCGTAAACAGAGTTCAGAAGACGTCGGGTACCGGAGGGCACAGGCACTTCGTAAGAGACGTCCTCCCAGGTGAACACGGACTTGGAGCTAATTTTGAGGTTTGATCCTGCATCAGAGTCAAGAGTTTTTGCCTGTCTGCTTGCTTTTTTCTTCATCAAAGCCTCATTTAGTTCTTTCCGCTCGGCGTTTTCTTTCTGATAGAAAGTGATGGTCTTGCCGCCTGCACCAAATTGGAGTGTTTCTCCGAAATACAGGTTTGAACAGAGGAAACCAACAATCAGGGCCAGCATGATGCCAAAGTTTCGCCAAAGATCACCTCCAAGGTAACTGAAAGATTGAGCAAGGTAGTTGGAGCCCGGGATGATTGCCGACCCAGGCTCGCCTCCCGCTAGAGTACAGGCCTGGTGTGCAATGTCGCTATAACCAGGTCCAGTTGGAACGAGCGAGTCTGTGGTACATGTCAGAGTAAGGTGCTTAAACTCGTTGACCATCAATGCAGCGAATCCAAGACCAAAGGGGTTGATGAAGTAAATCCATCGCAGCCACACCTGAGCGCCAGACCACTGAATGAGATATCCGGATGTCAAGACGAAGAATGTAATGATCACGGATGCGAACTTGATGGCATAATCGAAGTCAGGGCATAGACATCCGACGGTTCGGAAGAACACTGTCATAGTAACATAGCCCTCGAGGATGATCACAACAAATATAAAGAACGCTCCGGCATCAAGAACCAGTCCGCACATAAAGTACACGATGATACTAAACACGAGGATCCTTGCCACGGCAAACGCAGTGTCAACCAGGATCTGTGCAATGAAAAGTGCGCTAGGTCGGTAGAACGTGAATGAACGGTGCTTGTTGACAATTGAGCGGCCCATCATTGTAGCTGCAAGTTCCGAGAATGCCTGGAAGCCGTTGAACAGCAGACTGATGAACAAAAGACCTCCTCGAGTAAAGGCACCGGCACTCGTCTTGGGTTGATTGAGCCACACAGTACCCAGGATGATGGCAATACCAACAGACGTAACCCAAGACACGGTCAAAGCAAACTTGTCTTGCCATTTGAGGAGGAACTGTCGTTTCATCAAAGCCCAGGTTTGCAGGTGGAAGGGAATTGAGTATACCGATGAGTCAGAAGTAAACTTGCGCTTCGCCTCTTTGTTGGCGATCTCAAAATCATCGTATTTTTTCTTCTCCTTCTGGATCTGGGCGCGGTATGTTTTCATTTCCTCGTCTAATGTTTCACTGAAGATGGATTTATCAAAGGCTTCAACAAGTGCTTGTGTCGTGGATGGCACATCGTCGGCACTTCTTCCATCTTTGAACTCCCTCTCGAAAGGATCAGTGCATCCTGTCAAATAATCGGGAGTGGTCTGGCGAGGCTTTTCGCGGAAGCCAAGACCTTCGAAATACGACCGTGCTTCGGATGTAGGACCGAAGAATACTTGACGACCATTATCAATCACAAGGACCTTGTCGAACTGTTTATAGATGTTCTCGGACGCTTGGTAGAGGGACACGAAAGTTGTCGTTTTGTATATGTTGGTCAGAATCCGCAGCGACTTGGCAAAATCGAGGGCAGTTGAGGCATCCAAACCACGAGTGCTGTTATCCCAGGCCAATACAGTCGCAGAGGTGATCATCATTTCTGCAATTGACACGCGACGCCGCTCACCTGTTCTAATTAGCTTCCATTTGAGGAGAGCTGCATACATAACGCAGGTTGCTTACCTCCAGAGACACCACGAATAAACTGATTGCCGATCACAGTATTGGCAGTGTGCTCGATATTGAACATTTTCAGAAGTAAATTGGTCACTTTTTCTTTGAACTCGGCTTTCGACACACCAAGTGGGCGCTTTCCAGGGGTCTTCGTGTCGAGGGCGAATCCAAGGGTTTGTTTCACAGTCAAGGTGGGCTGGTGAATATCGTCCTCTTGATTATACACGGCTTCTCCACGGAATCTTTTGGAGAACGCATCCGCTTCAAAAGGACCGTAGAGGACCTCACCATCCACGCCGGTATATCCAATCCGTTGGTTCGCGATCACTTTGAGGAAAGTCGTACAGCCTGATCCGGGACGTCCAAGGACCAAGACCATCTCACCGGGCCGTGTGAGACCTCGGAAACCTTCCAGGATGCCCGACTCTTGGCCTTTACTTCTCCACCCGAAGAGGTCAATGAGTGTTCCCGGTAGATTAAGAAAATCGATGATTGCATCTGGGAACGTTTTGATGTATGTCTTGACACCGCCCATTCCACGAACTGACAGGTTGTCCCAAATCACACCTAGGAAGATAGTCAGTACCTATTGGCAGTCTGAATGTGAGCATCTACTAACCGATGTGCTTATCTTTGATTCCAGCCTGTTCAGAGGCGACACGATCGCCACGAAGAGTTGTCTCCAGATTCCATGAGTCATCTGACGCTATAGAGCCCTCGGTTTCGGCTTTCTCGATATCTTCAGTTGTCACTGCCGTCTTGGATACTCGTGATTCTTGTCGGGATAATCTGTGGGCTTGGTGCGAGATGTTGGAGAATTGTTTGCTCAACTCCGAAAAGTCCTTCTCAGCGGTCGTAACATCGACACCCGTCTGGAAAGAGGTATTGGCCGGCGTGTTAGCGATGCGAATTTCTTCCAGCTGTCGTCCATAGCTGTTTGCGTCTAAGGTATCAACATCGGATTTGCTGCTGGTTTCCGCCATGGCCAGCTTGTGGTCCGACTGAATGTTTGTCATTGAAGATCTTTAGTGCCGGGGGCCGATCCCGTTATAAACTCTCCGCGAGTACGTCCACGGGAGCTCCTCAAGAGTGTGTGGAATTATTAAATTATTATATGGGGAGGTACAAAGGAAAAAAAAGAGGTAGGATAATGTCAACGTTTTGGAGCCCCTGAAACAAAGGCGTTTAAAAAAAAAAAAAGCTAGAAGATAGCGAAGAAGCTAAACCCGAAGGATCCTTGGCTAGAGTCAGGTAGCATCTTAAACCCTTCAAGCCCAGCTAAATCTTTACAGTAATGAAAATAGCCTTGGGCCTCAGAAATTGCGTCCAAGCACAAGCCCCCATTGACCAAACCAATGTGGGGGTCTACCACGGACGGCATATTCCGCGGTGGAGTGACCAGATTCGAAGATGCCAAGCAGACGGGGTCCCAAATGGGTTTAAAGCGTAAAGAGTCGATATGACTCGTGTCTTGTCAGGCAGTTATGATTATAAATTCAATCCAATCTTGCAGAACTCGTTCTAGAATTCTCGATCTGGGGGTGTGGAGAAGAGCCAATTAGTGCCCTCCACTATAGGCAATCACAGCGAATACATACATGGATATGCCCTGATACAGGTCTGTGAGAAGTCTGGCTTTCAATGTATCTATTTACTCCGTGTAGAGGACCGATATACATCGTTAGGGACCATATCCCCTTTAAGGGATACTCTCCATAGGCAACTTAATAACCTTGAAATCTCTTTATTCAGAAAGAATCGGCTTGCAAAATCCTTTTGGACCCATTACGCCAGCACCCATCTGGTTAGCCCCGGGATATCTTCGGGTGACCGTTTCTGACCGTTTCTTTAAAGCCCTGGGCGTTTGGAGAATCAGACACGTCTAATGCATTAATGATATACCCATTGGGCGAAGCACAATCCATGTCTTTATTAGGCAGCATCCCACGTGCAGGCGCCACCTTGCATCGGAGTTGGGGGGCCAATCAATCTTGGGACTTCCCCAAATTGTCCGTTCTCTCTTTATATACCGGATTTGGGAGCGATTTTCTCGGAGTACCGCTTTATATTAGAAGGTTATAGAACAGTGGCATTCACGCCTCTTGCCGCTTTCTGCTATCTATCTTAAAGACAACTGAGGGCACTACAAGGACGAATAGAAAGACCAACAGATACGCGACCAACTATTCTTGCGGTATACTTGGACATAGACATATGGATATGCTCAAGTCTCACCCCAAGGCGTAAAAAGGAAAATAGCTGTTTAACCACTTGATATAGGGGTCACTTGTTAGTTATTCGATGCTGGCGCTGTATGATTGCAAATCCATTTGATATTGAAAAATTCTCTCTTGAATATCAGATTGGAAGGTTCATTGACACGTTTTTCCACACTTGCGCAATCGTAGATAATTGTATGGCAACGTGGCGACAAATGTCGCCACCATCGAGGCCATACTCATGGAAATTCATCATTGTAGTTCGGATGGTGGAGCTGAGGCAAGTATTAAGCCTGGCTTCTTGCAATACCTCAAGGAACAGGTCTGGTCCGGTACCAAGCTGGATAACACCCAATGGAGTACACAACGAGTGGCTAACAGCGTGAGGAGAATTATGTGTGATACATTGTGCTGAGTGGATGGGGGTTTGTCGGTTGTAAGTTGCCAATCGCACAATTCACGCAGCAGGTCAGCATCCAGACAAGCCAGTATGAACCGAAGCACTTGACGCACAAATGCCGCAGGTAGGGGAGCAGATGGAAGAGAAAGAAAAATTGTCGTCGATACTTCCCTGTGAATTGCTGGTCTCAATTCAACGACAGCCTCTCTACAATATATATATGTGCTACTACAATTATATCCCTCCCTCCCCCATTCCCTCTCTGTATCTCTATCTTTTCTATCCACCCCAGAAATCCCACTGTTGAAACCATGTCAGACTACCAGTACAAGTTCAATGTCCAAATGGGCTACGGTGGCTGCTCCAGCGCCATAAAGGAAGCTGTTGAAGCCCTGAATGGTGAGTTCCCCAGCGTTACTTTATCATCATAGGTATCATTTTCAGAGCACTAACCTCTTTGCTTGTACCTTCTAGGTGTGCAGAACCACTCCATTTCCCTGGAAGAGCAGACTATTTCCGTGGTGGTTGGACCTTTTCCCTCATACGAAACTGTGTTGGAGGCCATCAAGGCAAAGGGAAAGAATGTGCGTAGCGGGGAGGCGGACGGAGTCACTCAGCTTGTTTGAGAAACCCTGGAATGTCGCCGGTCGCTCTTGGTTCATTTGGAGATATTTTGTGCATTGTACTACCGGTACTATTATATGGTACTCCTAGTCAGTTCAAGCTTTATGGAGATTACGAGCAATAGAAAAACATGTCCGCTTGGACCTTATTTGAGCAAGTATGGTCATGGGCCCAAGCAGTGTCAGTGTCATCTACAACAATCTGGTGATGACAAATAGTCTGTTTTCTAAATAGAGCATTTACCGGTCTCTACGTACACGAGAGCTCCTAAGCATGCGCGGCTAATGTTCATCTAGCGAGCAAGATTCGTGCCGTATTGATAATTTCTTCTCTTATGATATTGACACTCACACTATCACTATCAATATACAAAAAAAAACACACCAGAAAGAACCGCATGCTTCACCCCAAAACCGTCAACCGTTAATGACAGCTGTGCTTTCCCTTGTCATCAACCTTTCCCCACTGATTCACTTGCTCCCAAGCCGACAATCCGACACAGATCGAGATCCGCCACAACATTCCACGACTGAATCCCTCGCGATGCACGCCCCAGATAAGGGTCAGGATCGAAATCGCAAGAAAAACATTTCGCAGGTTCTCGATGCCAGCAGTAGCCACCGAACCAGCAAAGAGAAAGTTTAGGACAGTCTATGACCGACAGATTAGCATATTAATTCAACAGCTTATTAACATGGAAAAGAACATACTGGCAGCCAACAACACGAAGACGAAAGCAATGCAGATCCTTCGGGTAGATATTTGACGACTAATTGGAAGGGTCTTTGCAGAAGGGACGCGTCGTGGTCTTGTTTAGAGTCGCACGAGGGTTTGACTGAGGGTTTGTCTGAGGAGCAATTTTGGCATGGCATGTTGGATATATATATTGAAGAATAATTTGAAAAATAAAGTGCTATGATTTTAAGTCGATAGGTCTATAGATATATCCCCTGGTGCCAAGGTCAGCTAGTACATATATGGAATAGTATGTTATTTCGGTCCAAACAACTCAAACACGGCAAGGGAGTATGGCAGGTTTTGGGGTCCATCGCGCCAAGCACGAGATTATTTCTCCGTCTCAGATAGTTTTATGATATCGATATATGCCCTACTCTAAAACACCTATAATATTGCTAATGTAAATAATGTTCATGGCACCTGATTAACATCCGGCGAAAAGCCCGGTTGACGCGATGGACCAAAAACCTGCCGTAGGCGAGGTTTCACTTGTCTTGGTATGACTCCTTGCAGCCTGGAAGGTTATCTATTTAACAAACCGTAGTACAAAGTATAGGTATTCCATGTCTTGTTGGCACTATATAGTTCCCCATCTTCTATTCTACGTTAACATGTATAGTCCACACCCGTGGCACAAGTCTCGCATTATTCCTGGAGTGCCTCAGCATAGATGAATCAAAGGGATCACGGGAGATAGCGAAGACTTCATACGGCTAATTTTTCCAAGGGTTCGATGCAGATCTGATAGAAAACTCACCTTTGTTGTAGAAGTGACAAGGCGGTCATCGATTCCCCGCGAATGCGGCTGTGTCAAACATAGCCCATAGCCACCACCAAGGCGTTTTTAGGGGGCCACTTTCAGGTATTAAAGGCACACCTGTGCCTACTTGGTATGTGCAAGACAACTTTTCTCTAGCAATTTCAAGACAAAAATGGCCCCACTCAAGATCGTGCTGGAGGGCAAATCGTCCATCACCCGCCAGCCGGAACGAGCTGCACTCGCCTTCGTCATCCATACGAGTGGACCGAACCAAGAAACCGTGTCCAAGGAGGCGATCGAGGCGTCCAATGAGATCAACAGGCTTTTTAATGAGCTGCCACCCAAAACGGAGACTGGCGAAACTATTGCAGGCTCACCGGTGACCACTTTCTCTTCCACCTCGCTACGAACAGACGCTACATTTCCAGGGGATAGTTCGGGCGAGCGTCTACCTACAATCTACCATGCTATTATCTCGCTCAACGCACTCTTCCAGGACTTCACGAAGCTTGGCGTAATCGTCGCAAAGCTAATTTCTTACCCCAACATCGAGATCAAGTCCCTCGATTGGTGTCTCACCGAGGCGACGCAAAAGGCCATGAGTACCGAGTCTCGCGAAGAGGCAATGCGCAACGCCGTCCAGAAGGCAAACGACTACGCTGGGGTCATTGGAAGAGAAGTCGTTGCGGTGGAAGTCAGCGAGTTGAGGGGCGGAGGGCAGTTTGACAAGAGGTACAATCCAGATCTACACAGGCAGCAAATGTATCAACCGCAGCAACAACAGATGGCTCAGTCAGGCGTACGTTACTCATCTATGGTTGATTCCTCTGCTTCCAGCTTGAAATCCCATTCAGGTGCTTCTCCGGGACTTGATTTGAGTCCACAGTTAATGCGGTACACGAATTCTGTGGAAGTTATATTTCAGGCTGTACACAATTGAGAGGTTTTCTCTTGGATATTTTGAAGTATTTTTTAGCTCAAGTTACTCTTGTTATTATCACTATCAATGTACAAAAAAAACACACCAGAAAGAACCGCATGCTTCACCCCAAAACCGTCAACCGTTAATGACAGCTGTGCTTTCCCTTGCCATCAATCTTTCCCCACTGATTCACTTGCTCCCAAGCCGACAATCCGACACAGATCGAGATCCGCCACAACATTCCACGACTGAATCCCTCGCGATGCATGCCCCAGATAAGGGTCAGGATCTGTACCATACAAAAGTGAGTCATGGAGATTTGTCTTATCAGTGAGATGCTAAGCTAGACACTGACATGGGACTGATGTCACTGACGTCCACCACTATCTAGCTACGTAGACCAGCTATATCATCCCCCTTAGCCTCAGTAATATTCAACTCTACAAATCCATCTCGGGGACACGATGGCCATGGATAATGTAGACCCAGCCGGTCGCGGCTTCCTAGGCGACCTTACACCTTCCGTTTTCCCAGTCTACCAATATCGGGACCGGGAGCAGTTACTCAACACCGTCAAGCAAGCAGTCGCAACAGCAATTAAGGCCACTACCAGTGAATGGTGTCTTATCGAACACGTTAATAATTCAATCTTCACAAGTGAATTTCTTCCGGCAAAAGAGGGCCTATTTGCTTCCTGGTCCTCGTATGATGCCCAGTTAGACCGTGTGCTATTAAGAATGGCAAAGTCTAAAGCCCATGAAGTCGCTTCGGAAATCTTCCACAACGTACTCCACGATGCAGTTAAGTTTATGGGGATGGATCGCTCCCTTCACCCAACCGGAAGTGCTACCCACCATGCTGTAATGGGGGGTAAAGAAGCCGATAAGGCGTGGCAGCCAATCCGACTCCCACGCGGCCGATCAAAGGACTGGCCCAGTGTCGTACTGGAAGTTGCTTTCTCAGAGAGTAGGGCCAAGCTGCAGTCAGATGTAAGATACTGGCTCCGAGCTTCAGGGGGTGATGTAAATGTGGTAATCACCCTCCAAATCAATCAACACTCCCCCAACATCACCATCGAGAATTGGGGAACCCAGGGCAATAAACCTGTTAACCACCTTCATCAAACCGTTCAGATCTCAAGGAAGGGCAGTAAAATCACAACCACAGGGTCTCCTCTGGTTATCGAGTTCGAAAAGCTCTTCCTGAGACCCCCCACCGAACCGAGAGAACGAAACATTCAGATCGATGACGGGGACCTACAATTCTTAGCAGAGAGTGTTTGGGACTGGCAGGGGATGTGAAAACAGAGACTAATTTTCATGAAGTGTATGTATCCTTAGCTGTGTGAGATCATGTTTCTTGTTTCTTGGTGCCCTACAGTTTGGCAGCATTAATATTCTCATCCATTGTGCCAGTGCCCAGGTGACTGACTTCCATTGTTCTCAGGTGTGTACCTATTTCCTACATAGGCTTAGTAACTAGCAAATGACTTTGGATCATTATATAAGCCGGATGAACTCAGTGAGCAAAAAGCAGCAAGAGGTGAGCACTAAAACGGAAAGAGAAAGCCATAGCGCGCGGCCTAAATTCCGGTGTATATGTATTTATGCTAAGTCCGGGGCGGTCTCGGACGCTGATAACGGTGGCCCTTATCTCATGCAAGGGGTGTATGGTACAACGTCAATTGACACATTTGTATAGGGAATTATGTCATAGTCTTCATTTCTGATTCGTGAACTGCAGTATTATACCGATAAACAATCTTACGATTCCCCGGGTATAAGGAGATGAATGCACTCCACTCCGAGATTCTCGAAGACTACTGATAGATCAAGGTAAAGCGTAGAGCGTCTATGCCGAGATCTCCTTGATCTGCGCCTCGAGTTTCTTCATGTCACCACCAACAACGCGGTTGACCTCCTTGCCATCCTTGAACACCACAAAGGTGGGCATAGCGTTCACGCCCAGTTCCTTCGCGACACCTTGCAGCTTGTCCACATCGACCTGGATAAAACGAACATTCTGGTACTGCTCGCTGAGCTTGCCGACAACGGGGGCGACAGCCTTGCAGGGTCCACACCAGGTTGCGAAGAAGTCAACGACGACGGGGCCGGAGGAGGTGAGGGCTTTGAAGATGACTTGGCTGTTGCGCGGATATTAGAATTAAATATATTGAGCGGAAGCAATAAAGGACTTACTTGTCGATCTCGGTGACCTTTCCGTGAGACATGATGGTTGCTGGGCCCGAGTTGCGTGATTTAAAGAAGAGACGAACAGCTTGAGAGTGGTTAGTGTTTGGTTCTTTGTTTCTGTCGGATGCGGGTTGACACCGCGGGACGTCGTGCATAATAGTACTTACCAATATATAGCGCAGCGAGAATTGCAACGGTTGTGTACTCCATCTTCAGTTGCCGGCGGTTCCCATGTTCTTTGGTGGAGCGTCGTGTTATTTGGCGTGGCACGTGACCGGGAACTATGCCCTATCTAGAAGTACGTCACGACATTTGAGAGATATTGATTGGTCTCAAATAGGTTTCAGCTCAAAGTGTTTTACTCTGATTAATCTAGATATGGGAGTTGGGCTTCGGGAAGTTTAATGCGACTGCAACCCCCAAAGGCCTCTGCCATCAACCACGACAATAGACTAGCGACGATCTATCCCTAGCAAGATCAATCAGATGAATAGTGTCTAGCTTTGCCGCGTGCTGTGTTGATATCCTATGTTACAGAGACAACCCCGTGTCATTCCGTTCGAACCTTATGGACAGAGGACCTCGGTATATGTACGTAGTCTACAATGATAACAGGGTAATGGATATAAAAAAAAAACAAGCGGGTCTAGGCCCACATACCATATTATCTTGATTTCAAGCTTCACTGATTTAGGGAGTATAAACTTGACAAATATCTTAGATACAACCTTAAAAGCCATGGAATCTCGGGTCATTAAATTGTGCTATCACAGTAATAGTATATTCATTTCTTCGTACATGAATCTTGCACCTGACTGGGCCTCCCGGCGCGAGCATCTTGAACTTAGGAATGTTTTCGGTTTGTGAATTCTCGATTGGATGCTGTAATTTCACCACAATTATTGTAGTCTATATATACCACGCAGCATCTACCTATCTATATATTTTTTTTTCTATTGGTATTTGAAGGCTGAGAACTAGCTAGCCTCCCAATTTGCACGTATTATGTCTCACATTCTTTCCAAGTTGCGTACATATGTTTCACCTCCGGAATGTATCATCAAGGAGCTCCAGCAAGGGCTCAATATGTTACTTCTCCAGTCAGTCTATACGGAGTACGATTTTTGTTAATAACCACGAAATGAACCCAGAAAGTAGGAATATCCTTCTTTCTACACAAAATCTCTCGACATGGATTTGCGACACCCAGCCCCCAAAATAGAGCCTGAGTCCAGCCCTAATAGCAAGCTCACTAAATCCACGCTCACTAAATCCACTACCCACCACATTCCAACAAATAATGCTCCGAGCACAACTGGATCTATGCTACGCCTCACATTATGGGTCTCGTTTGCCGCATGGATCTCGAACTTTGACAATGGCTACGCCGGCACGGTCTTGATCATGCCTTCTTACAAACGCTCGTTTGGAAGTTGCGAGCAAGTCCTAGACCCGAACACGTATGATAAAATACTGCACTGCTCGTTGACGCCACTGCAACAATCCCTTATCAGCCTCAACTTCCTGTTTGTTGCGATCGGAGGCGGGATTTCAGGCGTGGCCGGCCAATACGTTGGACGCAGAGTTTCAATTCAGGCTGGATGCGCATTGGCAATCATTGGTGCTGCTGGGATGCTTGGCACCAGCGGAAGCTTCCTTCTCTACATGGTGTGCAGATCGATCAGTGGTGTGGGAATTGGACAACTGATGGCAGCTAGCCTCACTTTTGGCTCCGAATGCATTGTCGCTAGCAAGCGCGGGCTGTCTTTAGGGTTGTATAATGTTGGACTCGCTAGTGGAAATGTTGCTGCTTTCGCGGTATGTGCCGGTTCTGCTCGTCTGGAGCCAACCAACAACTGGCAGTGGAAGACACCCATTCTATGCCAAATACCCCTTGGAATTATTCTTGGGGCTGGGATTTTGATGCTCCCTGAGTCACCGCGCTGGCTCATGGGACATGGCCGAGAGGAGGAGGCGCGGAACTCGTTCGGCGTGCTATACTGCCAAAGTCCATATTCGCCGGAAATCACCGCGCAGATTGATGATATCAGAACCAACCTTGCGAATGAGCGAGCAAGCCTCCAATCTGTCTCTTGGCTTGATATTTATTGCAGGAAACATATCGGCCGCACCTTGATATCTGCCATGATCATGGTTGGAGTCGCCATTACTGGTATCCAATTTGTACAACCATACGCTACCTTGTTTCTCAAAGGAGTTGGCATCAGTGACCCATATTTAATCAATGTTATCATTGGCTTGTGCATCCTAGGGGGATCCCTTTTTGGCCCGTTTATCGTGGAATACGGCGGAAGAAGAGTTGCGATGCTTTCAGGCTACATCGTCATGGGCTTATGCATGCTCACTCTTTCCTCGGTCAGCACAGCTCTTAAGATGAACGAAAGTGCCGAGATAGTGATAGTTGTCCTTTTGTGCTTCTGGGCTTTTGTCTTTGGCGGGACAATTGCTGCAAGTGTTAACCTTTCTGCAGTCGAGATGCACAGTGTCTCACTTCGCACCTTCGGACAAGCCAACACAACAGCATTCTACGGCATATTCGCCTTTGCTGCCACGTTTTGGACGCCCTACATGTTAAACGCGGATTATGGGAATATGGGACCCAATGTGGGCTATTTCTATGCAGGCGTTACCGCCGCCATCGGGATTTTAACTTTCTTGCTCGTGCCAGAGACTGCTGGACTCACCCTGGAGCAAATTGATGAAGGTTTCAATTCAGGAATAAAGGCATGGAGAACGTCATTGGCGAAAAATAAAGCCATTGCTTCCATTCACAAACGGAACATGACGAATGATAACATTGGGGCTTAATGAATGACGCCGAGCAGTGTTCAATTATCTATGAATAATATATAAAAACAATGTGCAGATTATAATACAAATTCGGGATTATTAGGTCTCATCAGTGTAACTATGAGCTGTTAAACTTATAACAGAAACCTCCAATAGATAGATAATAAGTAAGAATATGCATAGAGTGCAGGGGAGCCAACTATAAAACATGCTTTGAACCGAAGTGATGATCTGATATATGCAAATAGGTGTTAGGCAATAATTTTACAACACATATCCCATGTTTCTCTCCTTTTCGCGGTTTCGTTCATTCTGTTTTGGAAGATTATGCCATACAAGGTATGGGGCCTCCAGACACTATACAAAGAGACCTTGGCTTTTGTGTGTGGTCTGGTGGTAAAAACGTATTTGTTCTCACAGGTTATAGTACAGCATCGCGCACGTGATCTTCTGGCCCTAAGGCATACGCGCAACTGCGTTCCTCTTGAGGTAACGTTTACTTGGAGGTATCGATAAAATAAATAGAATCTCAACAGGACTACATTTGTCGTAGTTCGAGGTGATGGCGATTTGGAGCAAGTGACAAGATATTACGCGACATTCGTGTAGATTATTAGCTCAAGTTATAGTAGCCAATATATCTTCTTGAATGAGGCATGTGAGATGAGCGTTTGCCTGATTGCAGCTGAAATTTGTAAAATGAGACTATCAGACTTTATACGTTGACTCTATTCAGTCGCAATTGCCTAATTTGGGCCCTTTCCGCGTGCAAATGACACCTAAATTGGATTCTCTCACTATTCTCCCATTCCTTCTTTCCTCTCGCATCCACCCCGGACACTTCGCTCGCATAAACGTATTGATCGCAAAGCACCACCTAGAGGAAGTTGATGACATTTCTCTGGTACCAAACAAGCATATGCTAATATATCTTCAAAGCCATAAAGCTCAGTCATCACGATTATATTTACAGCCGCCTCTCCGTACCCGGCTATCATGTCGTTCTTTACCAATCCCCCTCGTCGCGGTAGAAACGATACCGACGATAGACTCTATCCCCGGCTATACACTCAAGCTACCGAATTGCCCAGAGAGTCTACCATGGCTCTTTTGAATATCACTAGGCTCAAGCCAGAGTCTAGCCTCACGGTCTGGGGCAATGAGATCCTTCATGTCTTGCGACCTCACAAGCTCGATGCACCCGTGGCCAGTGACCTTCCGAAACCCCATCAAGAAGACTCTGACTATAGCAAATGGAAGTTCTGGACTCTTTACGTTGCTGGATGGCTGTTCAATCAGGTGGATACTTCAATTCAGCACAAAGTGAAGGTATACTCAAACGACCTCGATTTTGCCGATGAAATATTCAATACAATCAAGCTGCTGAGCCTGCACAGCCAGTCCAAGTTCCTTGCGAATGAGGTGAAACGGTGGCAACAGCTGAAGCGAGAGAATTTCTCTACACCCGCAGAATTCATCATGGCCTACCAAAACCAGCACAATCGTCTGAAGACAGAGGACCATGCGCCGTCTTGTGATTTTGCGCTTGGTAGACTTCTGCACGAGCTGCACAGAGAAGCGATGAAGGTTCCGTTCATCCAAGAGGAGGTCAAGGATTTGGGACGATCCGTGGACTATCGACTTTTCGTTTATTACTGCAAAGTCTTGGTCGACGAATCCGGCAGGCCAACCGTTTCAGCCGGCCCCTCTACTCCTGAAGCTTCCGGTGAGGGGATCCATGGAGAATTGAGAGGCTGAAGTCCAAGCTGTGGACGTGAGTCTCCCACGGCGGCTGGAGACAAAGCACGAAGGGACTCGGGGACGCGGTCCGGCATGAGAATAAATGATTTGCTGCATGCACCGCCCCGACCTTGGAATTAATAATGTCATGAAAATGGGCACCTGGAGTCGAGGGACTTGAGAGATTTCTTATGCGGTCAGTCAAAAAAGAAAGAAAACCAAAAAAAAGGTCATGGCTACAGCTTCCTGGGTGTTATTTCTACAAGGTGAGGTCTCTTGAAGGAAGATTGATAGCAATTGATACAGGGCATAGCAATGGAACCGATTGCCTCCCTTATGATTTCCATCTGACTAGGTTCTATGAGAGTAGAAACCAAGCCTTCTATTTGCATTGCTTCTAGTCTAACGCGCATTTTAGAGATGGGCCAGTTTAATAGCTTTGCCTTCCAAATTAGGATTTAGTCAAATATCTCTGAAGTACAGAATATAATATCGCGTTTGAGATATTGTAGAGCGGACCCTTTGCCTAAAGCAAACATAGTAACTGCTGAGCTCAGTCTGTCACCCCTTCTGATTATATATATATATATATATTTTCGTTTTATCAACAAGCCCATTCCTGCCTGTGGATTTATAGTTGGAGAGTCGCCTCCGCCATAAGAGTCGTAAAAATGCTTGTTTAGGCTCAATTATAGACTTCGGGATTCTTTTACAAAGCATTCCCATCAAATGAGCAAAATACGCAGATAAAGTTCGGACTGATAGATACGAAAGGTTGCTGATTGAACAGAAAGGAGTAGGGCTATGGAAATTAACGATTACGGAGATACTTCTCAAAACGAATCTTGGAAAGACATGCCAGTGATAGAAACATGGAAGATCGTGATGTGCAGTAATGTCGAAGAGGCTGGGGTTAAATATCATATGATCGTGATCAGGTGGAGGTTTATAGTAGACTGAAAATGGCATGATAATTGCTTCAGAAGGCACAAATACAAACAGGAGAACAGTCAAAAAATTCCACATATCTCGCTGTTCTCAGGGTATGCACTGCGGCCCAATTATTGACTTGGTCATGGTGGCCTGCATGGCGGGGATTTAGCTGCACCTGTTGTTTTGCCCACTTAATGTCCACGTCTTTCTTCAACGCCCTAAAATAACAACTGCAACCGAGCAGCCACGTTGACATGGTGATAGTAGTGAGAAAATTGCACGCAAGGAAGATGCCGGTGAAAGTGTTCTGCTGATGCTAATCTCGATGCAGACGAATACGAGGATGACGTTAGTGCTCAGGTGCCCAACGCTGCTGACAAAGACGTTGCAAATGCAATAGTAATTTAAATATCTCGGATCAAGACTAACCTGGTAATGTCGAGGCCCCAGAAATATCAAGATGATCCCAATAGAACCGAAAGGGAAGCCCCTTGGGCCAACAATAACAATAGTGACGATTGAGCCGAGATCAAAGCCCGAGACCACGACCAAGTCAAAGGCAAAGAGCAATACCAACCCGGAGACAAAGACAAAATCGGATACAAAGAGCAAAATAAAACTGGAAACAAAAACCAAGGCAAAACCGGAGGCAAAGAGCAAGTCGGACACGAAAACGAAGAGCAACTCAGAGATAAAGAGCAGGCCAAAGACAGAAACAAAGGCCAAGTCGGCCACAGAAACGAAAAGGAAGCCGGAGACGAAGAACAAACCCGAAACAAAAGCAAAGCCAGAAACGAAGGCAAAAGTCGAGCCGAAGAAAAAGACCAACCCAAAGACAAGGACAGTGATCAACCTGGGAACGGCAACGAAGATCCTGCTGGGATAAGGCTGGCGACAACGAAGTTGACGCCAAGTATTGGGCTGATATTCAATATCCCAAGATGATAAAGGCCGAAGCTAGCTAGGATGAAGATACATCAGCCTTCGATGGCGAGACCATTCATCTGTCAAAGAGGAATAAACGCATACAGAGAAAAAGGAAAAAGAATAGCGAAATGGATGACTGAAATCAGAAGCAGGAATGAGAAATTGTCTTATCAAGGTTGCCCTTTGTGATCTATTGCTCTTTTTGAATATCCAATCAAATTGTCGATATTTCGCTCATTGGGTCTCTCCAGGTGTAGATGCCAATTTATCCCAGAACCTGGCAGGTCCTCATATTCAATTGATTTGTGAGCCTGTCGGATGACTCTGACTCGTAGCTGAGACTAGGGTGATAACGAGAAACCTCGGGAGAATTTCCGATTGTCGCTTTTATAAGTGAAGAGTAAAGTGCTTTCCTATAGCCACAAAGTAAATACCTATTATAACTGGAGTGGACTATATATGATATTGGAGAAATGGAAAGAGCCAAGTGCTGTTCTATACGTGAAGACCTAAACCAAAAGAGGAATTTCATTCACAAGTAGAATATGAGGTCCAGTGGTATTGGCGCCGAAAATGACCGCTGTTGAAGGTACAAACGGCTAGACTTCCACAGAGCCCAAAGAGCCCAAAGCCCAGCCCGACCCAACCCCCAAATGGGTCGGGTTTTGGGCCTAATGCACCCTAAATAATGCAAATATCCCAATCTCCCGTAATCCCGCTCGCCCTCATATTCTAGTTGTAAAATTCTTACAAGAGAACGAACACTTGCCAATTGGCTATCTTTGCTGAAAGCGCCACGGCGCAAGACATTCTCTTGAGATATGATGGAAAGGCAGCATTTGGAGATCAATATAAGAAACCGATTATTGGAATTACTCACTATCGAACTAGCATACCCATGGGCGTAGCGTGGACTGAATCATGGCTCACATCCATAGGTAGTCTTCGTACTAAAATTCAAGTTGTGACTTTCCGAAATATTTACCTGTCCAATAGGTATTACAAATGCAAAGGGCTGTCAGGTATGGCCTAAATTCAATATGTAAATCACACAGCATTAGCCTAAGATATCCACAAAGAAGCCCAATGGGGCAAAGAAAACGGAGCACAGAGCGATACTCCGAAAGACATCCCATACATCGCGTTTGTGCTGTATGGGATTTTCCAGAGATACAGTGCCACCCAGCAAAAACAAAAAACAAAAAAAAAAAGTAAGTAGCTAGCACGCTCAGATGAACAATCAGCAAGAAGAGTAAGAAAACCGAAGCCGGTAGATTGTAGACCGGAAGATACAAGATAGTTGGCAATCATGTACATGCAAAGAAAATCTGCCCATGTATCGAAGGACATGGGGAAGGAGAGTTGGGATAACGACTGTGGAGTTTTCAGGAGTTTTCAGAATGAATGTGAGGAGTAAATATCAACAATAAGGGAACAGCTCTGCTTGTTCCCATAACTCGCAAATAACATCCGAAGAATTGTTGACAATAGAACAAGCTGTAATGACAAGGAAATAGATTTTGTGCAGTGTGGTGTTGGGAAAGGAAATTGGGAACTTGTCTCGCAAGAGACAAGTTTAGAAAGGAGAGAGGATAGGGAGAGGGCTTGGTTAGTTTTATGTTTTATGTTTTATGTGCAAGGAAGGACAGCCATTGGTGTTCTTCACAATTCGGATTTGACTGGTTCGTCGACTTTCCATTGGGCTTTGCGTTTTCCCATCATCTCTTCGAGGACTTCGAGACGTTGGCGTGTGGTACGGAGGGCATGGTCCATCTCACGGTCAGAGACCTTCTCTTCCCGAAGCCGTTCAGCGAGCTCACGCTCATCACTTGTACTGACCCCATATGACCTGCGACTTGTGTGTGGCTCGGGGGATCGATAGACGTTTGGAAAGACCATTCCGTCCATGCCAACTCGGTCTTCCAGCCAGTTCCAGAGCTCGGTCTCTTCACGTCGCCACATCTCCTCGTATGCGGCCAGTCTCTGAGGCAAGCTGTGACCGGGACAGCCGGCTTCATGCGAAATCATGGATGATGATGATGGGGATCGGAAGAACGCCATGTAGAACACGATTCCGATCATTAGGATAGCGACGTTGCTACTCCATAGCGGACTGAGAATGCTGGCAAAGGGCTCCAGGAGGGGGCGGACTGGTTCGAAAATTCCCCATGACTCTTGCTTTCCGGCTTTGGAATCCATGGCAACCTTCAACGAAGCAGCTGCGGCCGACTCCCGCCCTGCGCCATCGCCCTTCTTGCGCTTTCCTTTGCCTCGTCCAGCGCCATTGGAACGCCCACGGGGAACAACTCCAACCTGCAGGGCTTTGAGAATATCGTTACCAAAGGCTGTTTGCCCATCAATTGCGCCTTTCTCGATAGGACCCTTAAGCCAACTCTTGCCTGACCACTCAATAGCACAGGTCATGAGGAAGCGAGTTTGGTTGCCAGCAGCCCATGTAAAGAGGTACTTGGTCTTGGTAGCAAAAACGTTCCCACTAGGCACATCAGGCGTTTGAGTGCTCAAAGTGACAAGAACGGCTTTTTCAAGGTCCAAGAAGTCCAGGGTCTCGGTACTGATACATTTTGTCTGCTTCGGACCAATGGAGCCATTGAGAGGTTTAATGTACGAGTATTTCCTGGTTGGGACTTCCATCGTCAAACCCTTTGCTGTTCCCTCGAACTGTAGCTCTCCGCATTTCTGGTTGTCGGCAAGGAACTTGGTCATAAATTCGCCAGACGCTGGGCCGAAAACCAAAGAGAAGACCTTGCCGAGCGGTGCCGGAATGACTTCATCTTTGATGACCTTTTCATACTGTCCGTCGGCGTTAACGTATTCAGTAGGTGCATGTGTAGCCGGGCCTGGGAAATCAGGAGGCGCATCCTTGGAAGCGCCCTTGTCGCTGTTCTTCTTGTCGCCGTTCTTTTTATCGCCACTTTTTTTGTCGCCATTTCCATTTGTGCCGGCCGCAGGGATAGCTGCATTCGCGGAAAGACTTGAAGCCTTGCGGCTCAAACCTGCTCGTGGCAAGGACGCTGCACTGGCGTTTGCACTGCCGCCGGCCTCAAAGAAGCTATCGGCGTTGTCCGCTTCCTCGTCCTCGTCGTATATTTCATCTTCATCGCTGAGATCGGTCTCAGACTCGCTCTCCTCCTCCTCCTCCTCCTCCCCAACCTTCTCTGTCTTATCACCGGTACCATTGGTCACACGGGTTCCATTCACAGAGCTCTTGATGGAGGGATGGTTGATCTTCCAGATGTTGACCATTAGGTCATATGTGGACTCGCGACTAAGCAGACTGCGGAAAGTATGACGTGCGTGGAGTGTCTGAATTGCAATGGCATTGGGGAACACCATAGCCGTATTCTCCTTTTCAATGGCAACAACCTCATCGAAGCTAATCACTAGAGTCGTGACCCACCCAAGGATGTTACTGGAGAAACATATGTGCCCTTCTGAGATATAGATGCGGCCGGCAAGAATGATCTCACGCTGCAGGGCGCAGCTATAATCTTCAATCAGATAATCGTCTTCAGGTACACTCCGGAATAATTGATGGAAGTCTCGATTGCGCTTTTTACTCGCAACCGCGAAGCCGGTCAATCGAGGTACACTAGAATTGACACCAGGAGCACCGAGTGCAATGGCACTAACGCCAATGGCTCCGATTGTCGAGGCTGTGGCTCCAGACGAGCCCCGGTGACGCCGGGCAAGTCTGCTGCGCACACTGGCAGTGCGTCTGAGGCCCCCGCTCAGGTCACCATCAAGGACACTACCACTAGGGGGAGTCTGATCACCCATAATGATGCCATCTTTTAAAAGCGAAGTCGTAGACTGAATCTCCAAAGCATCTTCTAGATCCGAGGGCTTTTCGTATGCTACTTGAACAGCGCGTGCTGCGCGTTTGTCTTCAAGTTTGGCAGCTTCCTCATCTCGCCGGGAAACAGCTGTGTTGTTGCGCTTGTCAACGGAGATCGCTGGCTTTGTGATCACCACGCCATCGGCAGTAGTGATTGACTCACCTGGTCGTGCGTCAATGTCCAGATGGCTGAAGTTCAGATCTCCTGCCCCAAGAGTCTCTACAGCAGATGGTCTCCCGTCCGCAATCTTACTGCCGTTATCTGATGTTCTTTCGGCCTCCTCCGGATTGGAACCATTGGCGGATCTATCACCATCAGCAGGAACAGGTGGAGAAGTCGGACGATTTCTCTGTTGTGCATTGATGCTATTGCTGAAGGAAGTGGCGGCATTTTGCGCAACTGAAAACACCGAAGAGAAGAAGCCGCTTTGCTGGTTTGAAGTCGGACTCTTTGCGCTGGGCGGTTTTTCGTCCAGTGGTGTCAGTGCAACAGACATTGAGTTGGACAGTTTGCTTGGACCATGAGCTGCAGAAGCGGACCGCACCCGGCGGTGGGAGATCATGTTTCCAGAGGGGCTCACGGTGGTGACGCCGGAAGATGGGGAATTTTCAGGTTGTATGGACTCGGGCGAGTCGGTAACATTATTGGACAGGATTTGCGCACTGAGGGGGCGGTGGTCGGTTGGAGTTGGAGGTGTTACAGTGGTCGCTGGCGCAGGAATAGCGGTATGAGGTGGGGTGTTCGGCATAGGGCTCGCTTCAAGCGAACGAGGCTTGTCGTTCGTTAGATCAGTACGAATGGGTGCAGGCAAAGGTGGAACGTCCTCGGGGGCTGCTTGTACTTGTTTCGATGAAAGACTGCTCCGTCGGCTGCCTCCAAACAGACCCCGCCCGCTTTTTTGGCCCCCGGGCTTGGTTGATGAAGCCTCGGGGTCGTCATGGGTGCCTTTCTTATCCGAGCTGAAAGCCTCTTTGAAACGTCGCCCAGGCGATGCACTACGTTTCTTGCCATTTAGGTCTGTGGGGACATCCAAGGCCATACCCGATGTTGCGCGTCGGGACAATCTTTCACTCGAGTTTGATTCCGACCCAGTGGCACTTAGCCCGCTAACAGCTGACTCGGCATCAGCATGAGAGCCTCCCGTGTCTACGGCATCTGCAGCATCCACCGATGTGGTCTTAAACATTGGGGAGGAGGAGGTGTAGAATCCGGTATGGGAGTTATGTGAGGTGAGGGGCGGAGGCCTAAACGAAGCCAAAGGTACAGCGAGTTAGAAGTAATCCAAGACAATAAAAAGATCAGCTGCGTGACTTACCCATCCGGTTCGTCATCATCGGTCAACAGATGATTGCCTTCACTTTCTGGCGCAAAGCTCTCTGCGATGGACGACGGGGCTGCGGAGGTCCCATCCCGAGATTCATTGGACCGGCTTTCATGTAGGTCTTGTTCCACAAGTACAGTCGGCACCGCTGGCTCGTCTCCTTGTTTCTGATTCTTCTTTTTATTCTGTTTACGCCTTCGACGCGCATCGAGTAGCTTTGAGAATCCACTGGGTCCAGCCCTGTTGGGATCTGCTACTTCTCCGCCTTGGGTTTTCGGTCTCTCGAGGGTGGAATCATGGGACGACCGACCATTGCTTTCGATCGCACTTGACTCTGCAGATATTGTCCAAGAGCGACGCGATCTGTTTTCGCCTCTCAAGCTTGAAGACGAAGAGTCGGCCATAATTGAAAGAGGGAATGGGGGTCGGGAGGGTTGGTGCGGGCAGACCGAGAGACTCAAGGGAAAGTTGGCATGAGGTGTATGTATTGAAGACTCTCACACTCTTTTCTTTTTGAGAGTACTTCCGTACATAGACGGGGAAACAAAGTAAAGAAGAGAGAGAGAGAGAGAAGAAGTGTTGAATTGTCCGATCCCCTGGAGCTCCGCAACTTAGTCACCCGCCAAGTTGGCCCCGGGGGCCTGCGACTGTGTTTCTTTTTTCTGTTCAATTGGTTTTGATTTGGCTTTATGATTGATATTATTTGAAGTAAGAAACATGTGTGGTTTTTCTGGTCTCTGATATTCGCACTATTCTTCCTAGATCAAAGCCTAACAGTATAGCTATAAGCATCTACTCCGCTTCTCCACTGTGTAGAATGTGGATGTGACACTTCGCTGCTTTCAGTTTGAAGATAATTTATTCTAGAACCTTGAGAAATGATTTTTTTTTCCCTCAAGAATTACCTTGTGGACCTCATCCTCACGTACCTGGTGTACCTGCTGTACTTGTTTTAAACCCCCAACGCATAACGTCACTTCTCCAACATTCCCCGGGTAGTTCCCATCAAAGGAATGCATCTGATTTTTCTTTCTTAACTCCTACAGTTTTGTTTTCGCCATGGAAGTAGCTCCTTTGGCCCTGGTAAGACCTCAGCCCCTCATTTTCAGGACGATCTGACCCTTGCCAGGCCCACACCCATGCGAGGAACGCAGTGCTAGAAACTCGCAAGGCCAACCCAGTAGCTGCCAGCGAGGAGCATGATCTAGCTGCTGGTGAATTTGCAACAGCTGCACAGAGCAGCTCCGACCATGAGGTGAGTTTTGATCGAGTAGAAGATCTGCCCCCGCTCGGGACCTAAGCTAACCGCGTCATACCAAGGCCCTACGGACTCTACGTTTGCTCGAAACTCATCACAAGAGGCTCGCCGAAATTCTCCGATTCCAGCATGAACATCCAAACACCGTCTCTGCTGAAGCACCAGCTGCCACTGTCTCCTCCTTAGCGACCCAGCAGACCGCAGCCGAGGTCGGGGGCACAAAAGGTGCAACCGCGAACCAGGATGCACAACTACCACCAAGACTGGTGGGCAATGCTCGTCTACCAAGTCGAGATAAATCCTCTATCGCTAATAACCTGGCTTCTGCCCGAGGAATCCCGTCGCACCCCCGCCGTGGATCACCAGTATCGCCAACGCTTACATCGCAACATGTCGCAGCAAAAATGGCCGAAACACCACCGAGGGCTAAAGCCAGCGAAACAAGGCTACACAATGAACCAACCAAAAATCGGCACAGTCGTCTTTCTACACCCAGACAACCATGGTCTCCTCCGACACCCAGTTCCACTGATGCGGTTTCTCAACAAACTGTACCTAGTGCAACTAAATCAAAGGGATCGAAAGATAAGTCTGCAATTGCCGATGAAGCATTCAACCGCTTTTACTCAGCCTTCGGAGGACTGGTATCCAAGGTGTCGGGGCCTTTGGCATTCGCGGGGATTCAAATGGGGTCTACGGATCCAACCAGCGCTGAACAGAGCCGCAAGTCCTCAGCTGAGGTGAAACTGCACCGTGAGCATGCTGTTCTAGACCATTCTATAACTGAGCCCGACGTAAACAAACTCTTCTCTCGAGCCGCGCTGCGGTCGATTCGAGACGGCTCTGGGGCAGGTCCCGGGAACCCAGCAGAGTCCTTCTACGTAGTCCCAACCACGGGCGGCACTATGTCATACGCAGGAATTCTCACCCGAGCTGAAAAGCAAGCACGCAGGAACAGCATCGAGGAGGGTGATGACGACTTTGTGGATGCGCGCGAGACCCCTTCGTCTCCTGAAATGCGTCACAGTGCTAGTGGTTCCCGCATATGGGCGGGACGCCGCGGCGCACCCGATAAACTTACCAGTCAGCAGACACAAAAAACAATGGAAGAGATGCAGGTGGAGAATGAGACCTTGAGGGGTTTGACAGATTCGCTCGCGACACGGTTGCATATGTGGGAAGTGAGCGCGCAATCTTCGTCGATGGCGCTGCAGCAATCAATCCGAATGATGCACCGCCAGAGCGCAGGGACGCCTGATTATTTCCAGCCCACAACTGGCACTACCTCGCCTGTTGCTACGCTGACTGCGCCGCTGGCTGCGGCTGATACTGATGCGCGGATCAAAGAACTTGAGGAGCAGGTCCGGCGTAGTGAGCAGAAGCTTGTAACTGCTTCCCACGAGAACGACAAGCTCAAGAATGTTCTTGGGCGATATCGAGACCGTTGGGAGAAATTGAAAGAGGGTGCCAAAACTCGGAGAGCAGAGGGTCGCTCCGGTGACAGTGCGAGCAATGCCCCTACGAGTGGTGTTAGCAAGCCGTCGGAACTCTCGGCCTCTCCAGATACTGGTCAAGGTCCCTCTGCTGGTCAAGCAGGTCTCGTGCTGCAGGGGATACTCTGACGTAGTCTTGCAAGCTCCATTTTCGGTGGTTGGAAACGGCGTTTGGTCCTAAGGCTTGATCCTTTTTTATGATATATGCCCATAACACATTTTACGAAGCTTCGAATCCAATTAGTTATCATTTATTCCGATCGGGTGTTCTAGTAACAGCTACACATATAATCCTACGCTAATGGAATTATCCGGAGGGGATAGATGAGGTTAGATAGATGAAGAGATGGTTAGTGAATAGTACACATGGTCTCCGAGGTTATCTAGTCGTTGAAAAGCAAGAAAGAAGGTGTAAGAGAATGAAACTCAATAACAAAAACTCTCAAGTCGTTCATTTTTAAAAATCACGCAAGATATATACCATCAGCAATCTCAGCAATCTGACACGCACTGAACAACATACACATCGAACAATGTATTAAATACTAACTTCCCTCCAATTTAAACCATTTAACGGACAACAAACGTGGCGTTACCACGAATATCCTCGGAGCTGCTACCCACAAGGGCAGTGAAGGTACCGGGCTCAACAACATACTTCATGCGAGTGTTCCAGAGACCAATATCCTCAACCTTGATAGGAATCTTAACAGTCTTAGTCTTTCCAGCAGGAATGATAACCTTCTTGAAGCCCTTGAGAATGCGGTTAGGAACAACAACAGAGGCAATGTTGTCCTGGATATAGACCTGCACAACCTCGGTACCCTCACGGGTGGCGTGGGTGTTGGTCACATCAACGCTGACAGTGACAGTCTTCTCAGATGCGGAGATGGTCTTCTTGTCAACCTTGACAGTTCCGTACTTGAAGGTGGAGTAACTCTTGCCGTAGCCGAAGGGGTACCAAGGCGAGGCGTCACCGAGAACGTACGAGTGACCGAAGACGAGAGTTCCGTTATCATACTTGTGGCCGACATCGCCCATGGAGCGGCCGGAGTTGAGGTAATCGTAGAAGATGGGGAGATCGCCGACGTAGCGGGGGAAACTGACGGAGAGCTTGCCGGAGGGGTTGTAGTCGCCGAAGAGGACGTCGGCAAGAGCGTTACCACCCTGCTCGGAGGGGTAGAATTGTTGCAGGAGAGCAGCAGTGGAGTTTGAGATCCAGGTGTCTGTAATAGGCTTTCCGCTGGACAGGACGACGATGGTTGGCACGCCGGTGTCGGCAATGGCCTTAATCAGGGGTCCCTGGGCGCCAACAAGGGCCAGATCATCTGTGTCAACGTGCTCTCCAGTGCTTTGTGTCTGTTAGTATTCACACTTTAGGATACATCTTGAGCTAGGCTTGGTTTACTCACGTTGCGTTCAATCCAGTCCAGAGTTCTCCCTGGTCGCGAGACCAGGTTCCGACAACGACAACGGCCACGTCGGACTTCTTTGCGGCCTCAATTGCCTCTGCAAAGCCTGACTGGTCATTGCTATCACGGTTGCATCCCTTGGCGTAGTGGACCTGAGACTTGTCCTTGACTGCAGCCTTGATACCTTCGAGAGGAGTGACACCGCGGTATTGACTCTTGTAGACAACGTAGTCACCGTACTATACACGTCGTTAATAACCCCAGTAGCAAGGGGGAATGAATGGTGACTTACGTTCACGAGATCAGCAGCCATAGGCCCAATTACCGCAACCTTGCTCGACTTCTTCAGAGGCAGAACATTTTCATGGTTCTCAAGGAGAACGATAGACTCCGTATCCAATTGTCTGGCGATCTTCACGGCCTTGGGGCTGTTGATAAGCTTGGGCCACTGGCCATTAGGAGCACCAGGGTACGGGTTCTCGAAAAGACCCATCTCGAACTTGACCCGGAGCAATCTAGAGACAGCAGTGTCCACAAGCTCAACGTCGAGTTTGCCGGACTCGACAAGCTCGGGAATCTTCTTGAAGTTGCTATTCAATAGTCAGTGTCTGTAGCTGCATCGTGCGGGTTTCAATAGAGCTTACAATGAGCCGCCGCCCATCTCAACGTCGGTTCCAGCATTCAGCAGCTGCGTGGTAACCGCTCCGCTATCGATAGGGTTGCTCTCGCAAAGCTTGAAGTAGGCGCACACTCTGTCACTGCCACCGGCATCGGTCATGACAAAGTATTCATATCCCCATTCTCCGCGCAGGATCTCAGTGAGAGTGTGGTAGTCAGAGACTGCTGGAATTCCGTCCCATCTAAAAACGGATGTTAGAATGGCATAAGACAAATCGGACCAGAGTGGAACTTACGAGTGGTACGCAGCCATGATGGAGTAAGCACCGCCATCGATGATAGCACGCTTGAAAGGAGGCAGCCAGCTATGCAATGGTTAGTCAACTGCTTAGTTTCTAAGCTTGGAGCTGACGTACGTGGTGCGCAGCTCTCTTTCACCGCCGTGAACTGGGCCGGTATTGAGTCCCTGCTCGGGGGCACTGACACCCGCAAAGTGCTTGACCATAGCCGACACGCCCTTGCCCTGCACTCCCTTGACGTAGCTATAACCAATTTCGCCGGCGAGATAAGCGTCCTCGGAGTAGGTTTCTTCGACCTTTTGTCTCTGTTGTTAGCTTCATTTCGCTGAATGTATTAACATATAGATGAAACTCACACGACCGAATCGAAGCTCACGAGCGAGATCAACAACAGGGGCGAAGAGCTGGTTAACACCAAGCGCTTTGGCTTCCTGTCCAATAATTCCTGCCATACTTTCGACAAGCTGCGCAATACTGTGTTAGATCGCAAGAACTCTATGCATGACAATGCAGGAACGGTAGCCGCTTACATCTGTGTTCCACGAGCATCCAATTCCAATGGGCGAATTGAAGATGGTGGCATTACCAATCATGAATCCGTGAATACCTGGTACAAGAAATGTCATCAGCTCGGGGTCTAACATAGCTGGAGACAGTAGCCTTGGAGTAAATACCCTCACTCTGAACAATGGCTGGAATTCCCAGAGTAGTGTTCTGGACGAGGTAGTCCTGTGCTCTCTTGATGTTCTCGGAGAGCCAGTCCCAAGAAACGTCCTGTCCGGCTGCAAACCATTAATATTTTTTGTTTCTGCGGACTGATGGAAAAGGACTTAACAGTCAAGCAGAGGACTTCATACCATAGAACATGCCTGCCTTCAGCTCCATGTTGGTGACCAGGCCGGTGTAGTTAAATTCTCCCGAGGTTGTGTTCATCCAATTGGAAAGATCACCTGTACAAGAATCCATTAGCAATTAGAACCCCCTGTATGGCGGCAATTGAGCTAAAACCATACCCTGCATTAACTGGGACATCTTGTCCTCAATAGTCATCCGGCCCATCAAGTCTTTCACTCGATTTTCCACTGAAGCCTTAGGATCCTTGTACAGAGGGGTGTTGCTCGGTTTTCCCAGAGCTAGGGCAGCAAAGAGCTGCACGAGCAGCAGCCCATTGGAAAGAATATTGGCCACCATCTTGATGACAAGACAACTTCTTTTCCAAATTCAATGGACAAGAACTGTTGTCTACTGACTAGCGTGAGACTGGAAGAAAAATAAATTCCTGGGGAAGCTCTTGCATATAAGTTCATGCAAGCCCGCAATGGACATCCTTGCGCTGTGGATACAGGCAATTCGACTAGAGACTAGTCGCATCGCATGGCATGATTTAATGATCCTGTTAATCGAAGTATATTGAAAAAGGCAGGTAGCTCACACCATTGTGCAGCGGAAATGAAGCCGTCTTGCAACACCAGAATGGATCAAGCTAGCCTCAACGGCTGCAGTAGTGCTCCGCTTGGCGTCGTTTTGAAGCGAGCTAGCACTACAAGGAGACGGAGCAATATCCCCGCCTCCACACTGGCATGGCGGCCTGGGGTTGAGGGGAAATAACTGTCGGCTGTTCGGTTAAATTCATTTGAAAAGTGGAGATAATGAAGACATCTGGGGTAACTAGACGGGCCTTCTGGGCGGTGGCATGGGTTTACAGCTTTTTCCACCTATTAGGGCTAGCCGTTTCATCCCGGAGATGAGATACCCCCAGAACATGGGGCTGAAGAATTGTGGCAGATGATCAATATGGATAAATTGAAGGGATAAGAGGCCAAAAGTAAGATTAGTGGCTGATAACGCTGAGAGCTTCCCCGTAGATGAAGTATACAATGTGAAAAGAAAGAAATAATACATTGATAGATGCTTAAACGATGTACCCGAATGCAATGCCAATTACAAGAATGTACCGATAGAAATATACCAGAAAAAAACGCCAAGGAGAAGAATCGAGGAAAGAGGAAAAGGGGGGAAATGAGTTCAAGTGAGATGACCACTTTAATGAACTGCGCTAATAATGCATCAGAGCGAGGGAATCCTGGAGTGATTATCGCCGAGCTTCTGTCTCGGCAGAATCACCGGGGTTATAGCTTGGCCCAGGCTGCGTCTCATGTTCTGCAGCAGCACTGTCAGCTGTTTTGGTGTTCTGGGTTTTGCGGAGAGCACCACCCAGCCACGCAAGTCCACCACTCCACGAGTCACTCAAGCTGCGAAGACGGGTCACATCTTCGTTGGTGGGTTGATCTGGTGTGGTATTTACGTTTGTCGCGGTATTGATGTCTGTTGCGAGAGCTGACATGGAACGGCCCGCCTCCGCAGGTCTGTCCGATGGTTGAGTGGCGGACTGGAGTCGAGCAGTTGCAAGTGAAAGCGCCGTGTCATTGTTTCCCTCAACTAGAGACGGATCTGCAAAGGCGCCATCGAGTTGACGCCGACGTCCCAATCTCCGCCTTGGTCGATCCTTGAGAGGGCTACCATCGCCACGCCGGATAGAATCAGCGACCACTGCAGTGAAGCCACCAGAAAGTGTGGGAAGCAGAGGCCCAGGGGAGAAACGATGAGAGATAGAGCTGCGCAGAGCACGCCGCGATGGTGTTTCAAGGGGAGTTTCGTTGCGAATGGGGTGGCTGGATTGGTCCAAAAGTGTGGGGGATGAAGCACGTCGTACTGTACCAGCATTTCCGTTCGTCCCCGCTTCTTCAAGACCAGGTGCAGGAGGAAACCGCAAAAGGACGGTTGAGGATTGTACTGCCTCATCTTCCTGTCCGGGAGGAGTAACGGGCCGGATATCAGACTCCGGTGTCACAAGAGCCTCATCTTGGATGTCTGCCCATGGGTTGGACATGTGAGATGGGGGCCGCAATGGTGAAGTGTAGTCAAACGATGGAGCAGACAGAGGGGATGCATCGATAAGGGATGCACGAGGCGAAGAGGGTGCGGCAGAAAGGATACCTCTAGGAGTAGACTGATCATCATCAAGTTCATCGGTGCCTTGGCTCAATATGGACCCTCTCGGGGACTGTGGAACGTCATATTGTGCTTCTGTGGAAACATCTGATGTCTTCGGCAATTGGTGACCAGGCGGAGACAAATCAATTCTGTCTTGATATCTTTCGCCACTGAGCAAACCAATGGACCCTTCCTCGTCTTCCGATGAAAACGACGACTCGTCGTCGCCACGGACTCTGCCGCTCGTGATGAAGGAAACCCCGAGGAAAGTCAACAGACATCCGCCAACAAATTTCGTCGCACGATCGGCCGTTATCGATTCAAAGTCACGGTAAAGGACTGCACTTCCTATGATAACAGCAAGAGTGAAGAGAACAAACTGCGTCGGAATCACCTGGGTGGAATCGAAGCGTTGTAGAGCACGATTAATGTAACGGACTTGCATCAATGCGCTGAAGACAAGGACGAAGACAAGTAGATAGGTGATAGGGAATGTAATAACATGCCACAATGTGCCAGACAGAAGCGAAGAGACACCCTTCGTAGAAAGAGCAGTGTATCCGCCTGTGTTATACGAATTAGCAACAACATACAAAAGAAGAGGCCCAAAACTAAAAATTGCTAGATAGAGACTTACCAAACAATGCAACGAGCCCAACATCGATAAGAATTGATCTCGAGCCATACCGGCGGCTAGCCCACATGAGACCGATAATCAACGAGGTAGTCAATCCGAGATAGAGCTGGAATTCCCATCGCGTGATGTTCACCCAAATTTCATGAGGTCCAATTTGTTCTTCAGAAGATTTAGCACTGAGAACCACAACGACGGCACCAGCAATAGAGACGAGCACGCCCCAGAGATCTCGTTTGCGAAATTGCTCCTTGAGCAAGCATGGCGCAATAATGCAATTCGATATCAGAGCCACAACACCCAAAGGCGAGACAATCGACGCCGGTGCAAATCCGTAGGCCATGAAATTGCCCATTTCTCCCACAACCATGAGCACGATTCCAACCCACCAGTACGGAGATTTGAGGTATGATTTGCGGTTGTTGTTTGCGCCATCCTTGCTTCCGGTGCTATTGTCCCGCGAGCTCGAACCACTGTTCCTCCCCTCGGTGTCGTTGCCATCGTCTCGATAAGGCTCAAAAGCATCCTGCTCAGAGTCTCGGTACAGATCCCGGGACCTTCCCCTCGATCCAGCACGTATTCCGTTGTTTCCAAGTTCCCCGTTGCGATTCTTGTCCTGTTCCCATTCTCTTGCGATCCGAATATGTGCGTATCGTTGGATATTGAGGGCTAGTGATATCAGAATGTTGCCGCATAGGGCCGCGATAATGCCGATCAGCGATGACCATTCATGCATGCTTCCCCCGTTACCCCCGTCATGATCATGAGGGGTTTCTGAGGTGGAATTTGATGGCGCGACGAAGAGTTGGGGGATAGAAGAAGTCGCGAGTGTGGATGATGCTGCGGGGGAGACGGCCGAAGAAAGAAGACCGGGTAGCAGGCTTGCTACCAATGACGACTGAAAGAATGCCATCCGTTCGTCTGAAATAATGCGACTTCACTTGTCTAGTACTGCTTATCGCACGGTTTGGCGAGGAAGCCTTCCTAGTTGTCAAGCACCCCTAATACACCTCAGCTCTCCGGCGGTACAGCCGATCAAAACGAGCTCCCAGATTTGACGGTGGGCATTTGGTCTCAAGTCGCAAAAGACCGCATTCTGTTCCGGGTGATCCGACGTTCTCGCGCGAAGATTATCACCACAAATAATAGTAAAGAGGATGAGGTTTGGGTGGGCGGCAATACACAGAGCGGAGGCGCGGAGACAATTGATATGTCAGCACCAAACAACCCCCGGGGCCCCCGGGCTAGGGCCATCTCCAAAGCTTCCAAGGCCCCGTGCGGCCACGGAAGCCTTCGCGTTAATTTAGCGTTTCACAGTGCAGATACGAATTGAATCAAACCCAACAGCGACGCTTGCGCGAGGTCAAAGCTCTTGTGATTCTTTCTATAGCTATGATTGGTTCGGGTGGGCAGTTGGGATCGTCGAGCTCGAAGGGGGACGTCATGAGCAACAAAGAAGCGACAACCCAGACCGAATGTAAGGAGCTAGATCCGATTCGATTTGGGATTTTTATGAAACTACAAGATGTGATACATACTGTATATTGCACAGGCAGCTGATTTTGAGTCTGCACATTTTTGTTATCAAAATCATGGTGAATATGTAGTACATTCCCATGGAGATCATCGCTTTGCTTTCTTCTTTTCCGGTCCTTCTTCGCCGTCACTCAGTTCCGCGTAAATGGCATTTGGTTGAGTCTCCTTGTATGCCTTAGTGAATATAGGCTCCTTCTCCGCCTGGTCGGCATATTTCAAGAGTGCTTCACGTGGATCCTCGTCTCGCATGGAGCTCAGTGGGATATGCTCGAGGATGTGTTTCTCATCTGGGGTATTTTTGGCAAACGGCGTCTGCACCGGCATATACGGTCGGCGAGGATCCCGAGAGCGACCAGAGGCTGTAAAGCCTACTGTAGGATGACGAGCAGACCTGGTTGCCGAGCTGTAATGCGGCACACCGTTGGAACCGACGACCACCGAATCACCTGCCAATCCCTGACTCAAATCCGCGGCGATAGCAATCTCATCGACGTGGCGGAGTTTTGGTGCCTTGGACATAACCGTCGCAGCGCCTTTCGTGGACATAGTCGGGTTATAGAGAACGTGGGTTTCGGCATGGGCGGAACCCGTCATAATCTGGTTGAGCTTTTCGTGCCATAGAACAGTAATCAAAGGCGAGCCTGGCGTCACAGGAGTAACGAGCTCTGGCTTGAGAGTAGCGGGGTTGAGAATATACAGATGGCCGGTTTCAGAGCCTGTGATAACATTGGCTGAGGAAGGAGAGAACTGAATGTTGGACGTTGGGTAGCGGGAAGATGTCGAGGTATGTGTGACGGTTGTGACTGGAGTCTTGAACTTTCTGGTATCCCAAAGCTTAATTGTATCATCACCACCTCTGGTGACAACAAGCCTTCCATCGGAACTGATATCAAGGCTGCTTGTCCATGTATCTTTGACATGAGCATCCCGGATTTCTGCGCTGGGTCTTGTATATGGGCCCTTTCCACTCCACATAACTAGGCTCCCATCGAGACCCGCACCTACCAGAATGTCGGCGCCTCCTTGTTTCGGGGAGCCCCATGCGAGGGCAGTCATCTTGGTCCGACCAGCGGATCCAGCCGCTCGTGACTTGTGCACGATCACCTCCTTCTGTGAGCGGCCAACGCTGGCATCCCATATACGAATTGTGCTATCGGTTCCAGCGGTGGCGCATATGTTAGGATCAGACGGGCTCCAGGCACCACAAGTAACCTCAGACACATGTCCTTTGGTATGGTGCAAGTCTCGCAGATACATATCTCCCTTCACAAATTCTGTGAGTATCTCACCATCACGGCTCAGGATCCGTGGCTGTGCAGTGGCAGTCACAGTCAGAACATAACTCGGGGAGAGCGGATTGAACGCGGCATAGTGCACGGCGTGTGTGTCCTGGGCTGCCGTCGCTTTCTTGGCTGAAGGATCGACGGACTTGAAGGCGCGGAGTGTGGATGGAGTCATTGAGGCAAAGTCAAATAGTTTCAGTGTGCAATCGGTCGAACCTGTGATTAGTCGCGCCCCCGAAGGGTCCACGGTCATGGTGGTGACGGCACGCTCATGAGCCTTGAGAACGAGCTCGTGCGACACGGGAAATTCATCCTCATCATCATCTGAACCGTCAGAGTCTTGGTCGCTATTATCATCACTGTCTTTCTCTTCATCATCATTCCCTCTTTCTTCTGCGCGAGGGGCTGTGATGCCAGTGCTTAGTTCATTGCCGTCGCGTTTCGGAGCCGAAACAGCAACACGCTTCGATCGGTCAATCTGGGACTCAACATCAACCGATTTCGCCTGCTTCCCAAAGCTGGAGGGAAAGAACTTGTTGAATGCTTCTTCGTCGAATTCATCCATGATTGTGTGGGTGAGAAACTTGGCGACAGCTGGAAAGAGGGCTCCGACCTGATAGTGAGCTTGTTTGCAGTGTTTGCAATCCGTGAATGATAATCCCGTATGCTTGGCGCAGGTAATCTCACGCAGTGTGTACATGTACTACAACTGGCTTGTTACGTACTTTGGATGTATGTGTATGGATAAACTTAGGAAAATTGCTGGGCAGTGCGCCATTTAGATTCGTTCGTCACTCGATTATTACAATACACAAGGGACCTAGCTGAGTACAGGTCTCCAGCGCAAGCTTTCCAGCACTCTAGCCTCAAAAGAATTGCCAGCGCTTACAAGTACAGACCCTCAACAGGACCGCCGTCCTGCTTGGTCTTCATGATACGCTCACGGGCAGCCCGGAAATCGTCCATCTGCACCCTCATGCGGCGCTCTCTCAGGGCCATCAAACCAGCTTCGGTACAGATAGCGCGGATGTCGGCACCAGAGAGATCATCCTTCTGGTTGATGAACTCCTCGAGGTCAACATCGTCACCGAGAGACATCTTCGAGGTGTGCAGAGTGAAAATCTTCTTCTTGGTGTTTTCTAAAAATTGTTAGCAAGCCACAACGAAGTAGCAGACATTAGGGTACGACTTACGGTCTGGATTCTCGAAGAGAATCTTGCGGTCAATACGACCAGGTCGGATCAAAGCCGGGTCCAGTGTTTCGATCTTGTTGGTGGCCATGATGACCTTCACGTCACCGCGATCATCGAATCCATCCAGCTGGTTCAGAAGCTCTAGCATAGTTCGCTGGATTTCTCGCTCACCGCCAGATTGTGATTCGTATCGCTTTGTACCGATGGCATCAATCTCGTCAATGAAAACAATTGATGGGGCATGGTCAGCAGCAACAGAGAAAATCTGACGAACCAGGCGGGGGCCATCACCCAGATACTTCTGGATCAGCTCACTGCCAACAATGCGGAGGAAGGTCGCGCTAGTCTGGTTGGCAACAGCCTTGGCAAGTAGCGTCTTTCCGGTACCTGGAGCACCGTAGAGAATCACACCCTTGGGGGGCTTGATACCCATCTCCTCATACAGCTCGGGGTGTAGCAAGGGCAGCTCCACAGATTCTCGAACTTCCTGGATTTGTTGCTCAAGACCACCAATATCAGCGTATGATTCTGTCGGCGCTTTGTCCAACTTCATCACCGAGACAAGGGGGTCAGATTCCTCCGTCAGTACACCGACAACAGACACTGACTTGTGGTGTAGAAGAATACTGGCACCCGGCTCGAGGAGATCTTTATCGACGAATGACATGATCGAGACGTAGTACTCGGGGCCAGTGGCGCTTGAAACAATAGCATGGTCATCATCAATCAACTCTTCTAAGTTGCCGACGCCCATCGGGCTGCCTCGCATGTCATCGACTCGACTCCGCTCATCAGCGTTCCGGTCCATCACATCCAAGTCACCACCTCGGCTGGCAGGATCCTGAGAGGCTTGGGCCTTGGCCTTGCGCATCCGCTCCATGTTCTCAACGTACTCTTCTTCTAACAGGAGGTGGTCATGAACACGCTGCATGCGAAGGTATCGTAGCTTGCATCGCGATGTAGGGTAGATATCGGGGAGCTTTGATGCAGTGCTTGGGCCTGCAGCCTTGCGCTTCTTCTTTCCAAGACGGGTGGTAGGTGGTGGGGGAGGTTCGTATTTGGGCTTGTCCTTCTAATGAAAGATGGTCTCAGCACTAGTCGTGTAACAGAGGAAATGAGTATGAACATACCTTCTTATCCTTGTCATCGCGTCCATCGCCTCCAGGGCCGCCGCCCAAATTAGACTGCTGTTGACCCTAGTTTTGAGTGTTAGAATGTAAATCGAGATGGCCTCCCAAAGGCTGGGAAGATTGGGGCGCTCACCATGTTTGTCAGCCACCGAGAGGGAGACAGTTACAATCCCTGGTGTGAAGGTGCAAATAAAATCAAAGTGGGCTGTATCTCGAGCCTTTAGTGGTATGGAATGATAAGGGAAATGAGTCGAAAGGGATGGATTGTCAATGTAGATGTGGTATCGCCGGAGGTTAGACGCTGAGCGAGCTGGAAGCTGTTAGGTCCACACGTGACTATGTAGGCCTCAGGCCGCGACTGCGTCATCTACGTATTGTTGCCTTAGCGCCTTGTCTTATCGGCACCTTGCTTGTACCTCCGACTTTCTCGAGGGCAATCAAAGAAATTCATATTCTACCGAGGCTCTATACTGAGATTTACCTTACGCAATCCAGGTTTAATTGTATTCTTTCTCGAGGTCTATATATCAGGTGCATATATCAGGTGACAGGTGTTTGAGCTCATCACTCATACTGAATTCCCGTATAGTTCAAAGGTTCCCCTCCATCTGGTGAGATCCTCGTTTTCCTTGAGTTCCTTTCAATTCCCTCGGGTATTTCGTACTCTGGGTGTGATATTCTCTACTTGATCTGCATCCTTCCTAACACCATTCTCCTACTATTAGCCCCACTCCGTCTTCCTCTCCACGGCAGTTTCCACAATCTGTGCGCTCTTTGACAAGACGAGAATAGATCTATCTGACTCCACAATTTACACATAAAGCGGTCTCATCCTCCTACATCTCTTGTTTAACCTCTTTCTGAAACGAGTCCTCGAATCACCATGGCTAGCAATCGTATGCGTCGCATTGGAAAGGAAATTACGGACATTCACGCCGATGCCCACTCTCGAATCAAGGTTGAGCCATTTGGTAACCAGGACGATGTCACTCATCTAAGGGGATCATTTCCAGGGCCACCTGGAACCCCTTATGAAGGTGGCACCTACAACATCGATATCAAAATCCCCACCGACTACCCTTTCCGACCACCTACCATGAGGTTTGAGACCAAAGTGTGGCATCCGAATGTCAGCAGCCAAACGGTCAGTGTCCTTTTCACAATATACATGTGAGAAAAATTGGATTCTGATAGCCGATGTAGGGTGCAATCTGCCTTGACACACTTTCTAGTGCTTGGTCGCCAGTTCTGACCATCAAGTCCGCTCTGCTTTCGCTGCAATCTTTGCTCAGCACACCCGAGCCCAAAGATCCTCAAGACGCTGAAGTGGCTAATATGCTTCTCAAGACACCCAAAGAATTTGAGCGTGTTGCGCGCGACTGGGCAGTTGTGTATGCTGGAGCTCCCGTGCGTAGTGCTGACAATGGAGGCGGATCAAGCCTAGATGACACTCGGCAAGCAGCTGTCGAAGACAGTCTTGCAAAGTGAGTCATTCTTCTGCCATCCATTGAGTATGATTGCTGACTATCATCTACAGATATGATGGATACAACAAGAATTTGGTTGACCGTTTTGGCAGCATGGGCTTCGACGTTGAGCGTGTTGTGGCTGCTTTCCGATTTGCCGGTGTTGAACGAAGAGGAGGTCAAGACTATGAGTTAGAAGAAGGTCGTATGGGTGATATTACCGCCCGACTTCTCGGTGAGTGATGTATTTCCTGGTGTTTGCGATGAACTCTGGATGAAAAAAGCACATATGGAATATGAACGGATTGCATCGGGTGGTTTATGCATGTCAGATATTTGGTATATAGCTTTTAATCGATATTGAAAACAATAAAATAAGACCGAAGAACAATTATATTGATTTGATGTCCAGGCGGAACTGTCCATGAAAGCGAGGGTTCGTGTTATCGATAAGCACACCCAGCTCCAACCTTCATTGTTCTCTCTTGGATCACCCCAAGTGGATTAATTGCTGGGCTCATTGATAATTGTCGAATACTTATTCTCATATTCAAAACTGCCCGAATTTTCCACCTCCTCGTGCTCGGTATTTCTTTCTAGTCATACTCTAACCACCCTACCGTCATCCCTGGCCAAGATTAAAGGTTTCTAGCCTTTGGTTCTTCCAGCAGGTGAAAAGCACCGGCGCCATGATTGAAGACGACATTTACCGTGCCTCATCCCAGTACCGGCTGTGGTCATACACTGAGCCATCTCTGCAATCTCTCAGAGCCTCAACAAATGCCGTTGCCAGCGAGCGCGTACGCGCCGCTTTGCGCAGATCGCGCGAAACTCATCAGTCGACTGCATCCTCCGCGGCGGGAACACCACTGCCGGAAAGCAATATGGAAATCAAGAATAAAGATGAGAAAGATGTCGAATGCTTGACACCAGAGGAGGAGCTCGTTCTCGTGCGGTATTACTGCGAGAAGACGCTGGAGCTCGGAGAGACATACAAGCCACCAATCCCGACAATGGTCCGGGTACGTTAAGCTCCCGGGGACTTCATACTCCGTTTGGAAACCATTGCAAATAAATCTCGAGAAGCTGACCTTTCTCATTCTGCGCATACAGGCCACCGCGATTCAATACCTCCGCCGCTTCTACCTAACCAATTCACCCATGACTTACCATCCAAAGTCCATCATGGCCTGTGCGCTCTTCGTCGCGACCAAAACCGATAATTACTATATCTCTCTCCGGCAATTTGCAGATGGAATTCCTGGTGACACAGCGACGGAGGACGTCATCGCACCGGAATTCCTGCTCATGCAGGGACTCCGTTTCACGTTTGATGTACGGCATCCATTCCGGGGACTTGAAGGCGGCGTCATGGAACTACAAGCCATCGCACAAGGTCAAGGCCAGCCAGCTCCCCATCTACCACATGAGACTGCGGAAGATCTCCAACAAGGATTGCTGTCCATCGCACCTCCTCCCGTCCCGTCGTCCTCAATGTCAGATCGAATCGCTCGAGCCCACGGTACAACTCGTGAGCTGCTGAAATCCGCTGCGCAGATGACAGATGCCTACTTCTTGTACACACCATCCCAGATCTGGTTTTCTGCCTTTTTACTGGCAGATCGTCCGCTAGCCGAGTTTTTGCTGGATGTCAAACTTGGTGGTCCTGTTACAGCCACAATCCCTACCCCCGAAACAGACGAAAATGGCCTGGTGAACCCTTTATACGAAATCCGCTCCAAGCTTCATCACGTTTTGACCGAATGCTCTGCTCTTCTCCAATCCTACACACCTCTCTCCTCGGACCCTGCGCAAATGAAAAGCCTCAAGCGCATCGCAAAGAAACTATATCATTGTCAGAACCCCGAGAAGGTGAATCTAGCTGCCGCTAGGAAACGGGATACAGCCCAGCCATTCATCGCGGTTCAAAGTGACACTGGAATGGCCACTTCTGAGAGCGAAACAGAACGCCTGGCGAAAAAGCGGAAATTGGAACAAGAACAAATCGTCCGTCAGGACGGTGATGTTTTTGGTCCGGAGGTGGTCACCCAGCGAACCAAGCAGTAATGAGTATGCAAAGCATTGAATCTACAAACATAAATATTTTAATATCAAATACCAGAACCACACTTCTAGATGCAGCAAACGTCAGGCTTGATGATACATTTCCAAATTTCCAGATCCTAGACATAGCTATTAGACCTCTCGGCCTACATAGACCTAAAATCCGAGTTCAAGCCCGACAGAGGAAAGTACACATTCCTGTCATCATCGGATAGGAACAGGTTTGCTTCCTCTGATCAAGCATGGTGAACCAAGTTCGAGAATTGGTCTTTCGTCTCTTGTTATTCTCATGCGATTACCAGTGGCGATATCTCAAGAAACAAAGAACATCATCAATGGCCATAGTAGCCTTCATTGTCTCCTTTCAAACAAAGAACCAAATACAAGTCATCGCCAACAGGACTTACATAAATACACCCCCACGCGTCCCATCCCATATTAACTCACCCATACATACACACCAGCACGATGGACGGATCTCGCATACACCCGGAGAACTTTAAGGAGATCTATACAAAAGCCTGCGAAGCCTTCACCCACAAGCTGCAGTGTCAAGTATTCGTTCTCCTGAGCCCACCCCCCAGCCCTGATATAGAGAATATCGCGACACGGCTGGAAGAGCTCGGCGAGCGCGTCATTCAGATTGGATTCCTTGGGGAGATTGGCGAGTTCGGGATCAGGGGTGATAACCGCGTGCGTGCGCGCTGGGGTCCGCTTTCTATTAAGGAGATTTGCTTCGAGATTAAGTGGGAATTGACTGTTATCATGGAGGAACTTGCTAACGGTGGAGATCCGTTGATACTTGCGGATTTAATAGTCGAGATTTTGGATGCGTTGCCTTTTTGAATATGTTTATCTTGATGGTGCTTATTGTTTAGTCATGGAGTTGTAGAGTAGATATTGTAGGGATAACCGATTTCGGAGATCTAGAGGGCAATAGGCAGTGTCAATTATAACCATTGATATAACATCGAATAGATTCGGCCGATAAGGGTCATAAGAGAGAGCATTGTTGATGGGGAAGAGTGTCTACATACATGTAGACAAGACATCGGGAAGTAAAGCTAGACAAACTTCAGTCATGTGTACAAGTAGCACCGTACGCGAAGACTGAGAGAATACAGCCTTTTCAAAAAACAGTATGGATACAATCAAGCCTAAATGGCATCCCTTATATTCACCTCGGAGAGGACTAGATACTCTATCAAGGATGCATAAGACAAAAAAACAGATGGAATCATGTCCAATCGAAAAGGGGTAGTTCATAGCAATAAAACGCAAAGGTCCAATCCTCCACCCAAAATCTATTCGGAAAGGAGGGAAAGGACAAACGATCTAACGGACAAAAAGAAAATAAATGAAACCCATCCCAACCCAAGGAACTTTTTGTTGTGTCCCTGCGGGAACCAAACTTTTAGTGCCATTTGGGCATTTGTATTCCTTCAGTTCTCGTCTAGCATTTCGTCATCAAAGGGGGAAAAAAAGGAAGTTGAACAAAGTAGAAACATAAAGAAGGCCTTTAAACGGCGCCGGCAGACAACATCTTGTTACGGAGGTAGTTCTTGTAGTCACCGATGGAGCCATCCCAGCGGCGGATAGTCTTGTCCTCGCAGACCATGATGTCCTTGGCAATCTTGTCGAGGAGACGGAAATCGTGAGACACGACGACGACACCACCGCTGTAGGCATTGATAGCATCGGCCAAAGAATCAATGGTGGGGATATCGAGACCGTTGGTAGGCTCGTCAAGAAGAATCATGTTGGGGGACTCAATGGCAAGCAGGGCGAAGACGATACGAGACTTCTGACCCTCGGACAGAGTACCCATGAGGGCAGTCTGACCCTCACCGCTCAGACCGTAACGGCCGAGCTGCTGGCGCCAGTACTGGTAATCCTGGGACTTCTCGGGGAAGCGGTCACGGACGAACTCAAGGGAAGACTTGGTGAGATCGAGCTGCTCGGAAGAGTGCTGGCTGTAAACACCAAGCTTCAAGTGAGTGTGACGGGAGACACGGCCACCGATGGGGCTGAGTTTGCCGGTCATGAGACGGAGCAGAGTAGACTTGCCGACACCGTTGGGGCCGACCAGGGCGGTACGGGAGTCCATGTCGACACCGAGATCGAGGTGCTCGTAGAGGGTGTCTTCCCATTTACCGGAGTAGGAGAAACTGACATCGTCGAAGGAGAGAACTGGGGGAGGAAGCTTCTCAACATCGGCGAAGCGGAAGGTGAAGACACGGTCGGCAACGACGGGCTGAATGAAACCATCGGCCTCCATCTTGTCGAGAATCTTCTGGCGAGACTTGGCTTGACGCACCAAGTTAGCGTAGGTACCAGCGGAAGCAATGAACTTCTTGATGTGCTGGATTTCTTCCTGCTGCTTGGTGTAGGCCTTGGCCTGGTTGGTCTCCTGCTCACTACGGGTCTTGTGGTAAGAATCGTAGTTACCACCGTAGTAGAGGAGCTTCTGGCCACGCATGTCAAGCATGGTAGTGCAGACACCGTTCAGGAAATCCATGGAGTGAGAAACCAGGATCAAAGTACGATCCCACTTCTTGAGGTACTCCTCGAGCCACACGCAAGCCTCCAAGTCCAAATGGGCAGTGGGGTCATCAAGCAAGAGCAAAGAGGGCTTGACGAACAAAGCCTTGGCGAGGGCAACACGCATACGCCAACCACCGGACATGTCCTTGGTTTTCTTGTTGATGGTGTGCTTGTTGAAGCCGAGACCGGTCAAAATAAGGGAGGCACGAACGTGGAAAGTGGAAGGATCCATCTTGTCCATGCGCTGTATATGATAGTTAGCCTCTTGTTTGCAACCATAGAGAATGAAACTCGAAAAATACGTACGTCATATAGGTCTTCAAGGATAGGGCTATCAGGGCCGTCATTCTCAAGAACTTCCTCGGCCTTCTTCTCCATATCTTCCAACTGGCGTTCGGCCTCGCGAACAACCCAGTCAAGGGCGCCGAACTCGGTGGGGGGTGCACCCTCGTTCAGAAGGTAGATATCGATGTGCTCGGGAACGGGGTACTCGCGGGCAGCAATCGACTTGAGGATAGTGGACTTTCCGCAACCGTTCTCACCGAGGAGACCGTAGCGACGGCCGAAGGTCAGCTCGAGGGTGGAATCGGTGACCAGGACCTTTCCGTGGAACACAAGGGAGCAAGAGGTGATCTTAACGTCGCGAGAGGCGGGGAGAGATGACAGCACACCGGTGGTGACACGATCGGACAGACCATGCTTATCCATCTGGGCTGTGAGCTTATCAACGGCGGACTGATCCTTGGTAGCAGGCGCATCTCCGACAATGGGTTTTCCGTGGGCATCGAGTTCGACCTTGACGTCCTTCTTGGGCTTCTTCTCGTCGGCACGCTTGGCCATGCGGGCAGCCTTTGAGGCGGAAACCATGGTTGCGGGTGTGACGGTATAAAAAAAAGGGGGGGTTAAGGAGAAAATTAAGGGACGGAAGGCAGAGGGACGGAGAGGAGAAAGGATGACAATGCGAAAAGAGATTGAAGAGAAAAGCAAAAAGACTGAGTGGATCGCCTGGCGGGGCGGACAGGAAATGGAGGGGCGTAGAGCAGTGGAGTTGGTGGTTTGCCCTTATCGATAGAATCCTATCGATTGTGAGTTTGAGAGAAATAGAAGACTTGAGAGTAAAACGTACCTTTCTCTTATAAATTTATTCTTTTGCCTTGGGAGTGTGCGTGTTGGCAATTCAATTAAGAAATTTTTACACCAAAAAAAAAAATCAATCAGTGGGCCGTTATAAGTGGATGCTGATTGGGAGAGACGTCACCGCAGTCGATGCCTGAGGTGTTTATTTGCCACCTTTGATTTGTGTGATACGCGACTGGACGATAAGGTACAAAGGGAAAAAAGGAGAGAGGGGCTATATTTGGAAGAGATATGCTAATATATTTTATACCTCTTCAAAGTCTGTCACTGATTCTCTCCAACATTTCTTGTTCCTCGACAGAAAGCAATATCCCATCCGGCACTGAAATATCACCACGTTCTATTACCAATCGTCGGGGAACATCAGTCAGGCTATCCTCATAATGACTAGGAAAACTCGGCGTTTCCTTATGACTAGCCTTTTCAACATCCCCTCGAGACCGCGACAGAGGGTGTGACGTCCACCAGTACAAAGGATACCGACGCTGCACATTGTTAATGATCACGGCCGCAGCCTGCATAAGTCCGAGTCCAAGCAACATGACCGGGAACAGAAACCAGCCCAGAGCAACAGTTTGAGCGTGCGTCACTGCCAGAACAGCAGTCGCACCCGCGGGCGGGTGTGTAGTATTGGTGAGAATCATGACAGCCGTGGTAAGTCCGCAAGCAAGAGCACCCCCGAGCTCAGTATACGCTTCAGCATGAGGGTTCAAGGCGAACAATTTTGATATCCCGACACCGAAGAAACAGGCGATGACCTGGCTCAGGATCGCATTGCGTGGTTGTGCGAAGGGCGATTCGATGGCACCGAATTCAATAACTGCCGCCGCACCCTATTATCAAAGAAGCATAGAGTCAGCCCTATGTTGTTTTCGTACTTCAGTCTGCTCTCGCATCAGACATCAGACCGCGACTCACAAAACTGCCAATAATCACTGGCGCATCACGCGCTTCAAAAGAAGGCACCCGTTTCGAAACAGATGCCACCAAAGCCACACCACAAAATGCTCCAACCAACGACCATAAGGCGACCACGATGTTGCCCATTGGCTTGGGTGGTTTATCCCGATAGCCCAGCATATGGGCGACAGGTCGTGGTATGAGATGCCATCGTGGTGCCGGCACGAATGGATTCATATACCGATCGATGTCGAAATTCCAAGTCGTCGGGCGGGACAGCGTCACCGATCTATGAGGGACGTGTGCCATGCTGGGCTTCTGTTGTACTGAGATACTATGTAAGCTCTAGGCTCTGTAGGGTTCTTGGGTTCCTAATGATCTCAATCCGCACACTAGAAGTTCAACCCTATCGGGGATATAAAGGAAGAACCTCCATCAGCCATACACCCGTGAACCGGTACTGAGCAAAACCTCATGTGTGCCGTTAAAGGCGCAACTCTGCTCTCTTTCTCCGCGGATGTCAACTTTCGGATGTAGGGCTTCATGTCAATTTCGATTTCTTCAAGTTGGCCACTCAGCGGATTTACATTTGGTAACATAAACTACGGTTTGGGACTAGCGGCTTGGCATTCCGTTATTGTTGTAGATGCCATGTGACGTCGGGATGTTTCTGTCTGTGGAGCACTTTGTATACTGACGATATATTGTTTTCAACTATACAAACAAAAAATGGAGTTGATTCCCATATATGACCAGCTCTCCCAGCTATTGGCTATCGGATATACGCCTGGTCAACAACAGAACCACCATCTATACCAAAGAATCCTAAGATGTGTTCATACTAACGAATAAAGAAATCAAATCTCACCCCCGACATCTCGCAAACACTCCTCTCCCTCCCCAATAACCAATGGCAACCCCACACACCAAGCCCGCGGATACTCCATCCCCCACTTCCCCATAAGAGCCTTCAGGTCCGCCTCATGGCCAGGGACAACATTAACAAACACCCGATCACCATGCGATCGCGGCTCGGAATGCACCGCGCCATCATCCTCGCCAACCCGGAAGAAAACACACTCTCCCACCGACGCCTGCACAATCCCATGCCCGCCCAGCTCAAGGGCTAGCTGTTCTCGCACCGACTCCGCCGCCATGGCGCAGCCGACACAGCGCACAGAGACGCAGACGTGATCTGGGTCTGCGGCGCGGGCGGCTGTTTTGGCGGCTTGTTGCGTGGCGCGTGCTAGGCGGTTTGTCGCAGGTGGGATGAACAAGGTCCCGGGGCCAAGGAGGGTTGTTGTGAGTTTCCAGTTTGTTGGGGTCGGGCTTATGGAGGGGATTTGGGCGGTTGGGGCTGTAAGTTGGTGGTGATGGTGCTCGGTTTCGGGGTTGGAGGGTGAGATTGGGATTGAGAGATCTTGATTTGTTGGTGCTGCCCAGGTGGATTTGAGTAGATTAGTGATTGGCGAGAAGAGTGATTGACGCCTTGCGTGGTTTATTGGTGGTTGGAGGGGAGAGAAGAATAAATCATCTGTGTGCCAGCGTGGGATGTCGAATTCGTCCGAGCCTTTGCTTGCTCTGATTGTGAGCCAGTAGTGGGACTGGTTATTTTTGGTCAGGAAATCGTGGACGTATGCCAGGAAGGAGAATAAGGAGGGCATTATTGAGCCGCTTATTGTGGCTTCTGCCCAGGTGTTAAAAGAGGATGGCAGATTACATGATTCGAGGGTTAAGAGGGGTCCGCAGTAAGTCCATGAGGACGAAGTGTTGAGGGTAATTGGATCATCTGTTGGCAGTAGTTCTTTAGACTCGACAGATGGATATTTGACTGGATATGGGAAGAATCGGAAATCTGGTAGCGATTTGACGTCCATCACGGTTATTTCTTAGGAGAAGAGGCTATTCCTTGGGGGCCTGTGGGACAATTTAAAAGGCTCCTGGACCTCATCTGTACAGAAGGACGCCTTTCCACTTCCATTTTAGTGCCCACCTCTTGCCGCTTTAGATCTGTGGGTAAAACCGAGCACGCCCCGCTCAACTTCTTGGAAAGTCAGGCGATCACTTCCCATTATATAATCAATATTATCCCCGGGGCCAGGCCTCAGAGCTATCCTGGGCGAGGTCGTCACGCCCTCACACACCTTCCGGCTGTTGGTTCCGCTAGACAAGAATTTTAAAAAGAGAAGGAAGAATATGAAGATGAACTAAAGTGAAATGGCTATTATTGCCTAAACCAAGCCTTCTATAGGCTACCTAGTTGGGTGCTCCAATCGCTACTGCTTCAACTGGGCCGCCTCCCGACGATTTGCTCGTCGAATCGTGAAACAACACCAAACGCTGCATGCAATGATCTCGACGCCAATAAGTGGAAGGCCAACCATGAGAAAATATCCTAGGGTCGTAAGTGTCGGGTCATTCTGATCCTTAGTCGGTTCTAGGGAAGGCATCGTGAGGCTCTGTCCTAGCACCCAGGTCGAAAAGTACTCCCCCGAATCAAGCGGCGGTAGTGTTGGAGACATGCTCACCGTGTCCGAGGCCGCCCATGATATCTCCCATACTGCGTGGGCCATATATCCTTCTGTAAAGACCTTTGTTGTCTTGGTTCCGGTGGACCATATTGTTACAGTGGTTGAGGTCCATCCGGCCTCTGTATATCGGTAATAAGGCGCTGTAAGGCTGGTTATAGGGGAAGATTGATATCTATCCCATAGTTGATAGTCGCTGAAATGAGTGGATAGGCTTAGTGATCTGTTTTGAATATATCAGAATGGTATTTATATATAAACCTAGCACAACAGTACGCAGTGGAGTAATAAGCAAGGTTTTCATTTCCAAATTTAGTGGATGTGCGTCGCATTTCAAAGTATGTCCAGTAGCTAGGACATACGGCTGGACTGAAATGGAACTGGCTGGCGGGATCCCGATGATCCCAGCCGTTGGGCTGGCAAGCGGAAAAGTGAGGATCGGCAACATCAGAGATCAAAAAAGCGACAGGGGAAATCGTGGAAGACCCATAGCTTGCTGACTTCAGCATAGGTATAGTGGCTATGCCATATAGAGATGAACAGCGGCCTATTTGCACAAAAGGAGTTGTCAGTACCTCAGAGGTAGTTTTTGTGACAGTCGAGGGTGCTAAGAAAGTGGAAGGCGTGAGGTAGTAGTGCGACTGGAGCAGGCAGTCTCTGTATTTAATATAAAATAAACGTAAATGTCTTATTGGACGTGTTATGAAGATAAGCGTTGATTTACGTGGACCTTAGGAGGATGTAGGTACATATAAAAGTTAATGAGATTGCCCGGGGGAGAGCACCCCATAACATTGAACATAAAGAACCACAAGAAGATCATAGCCGAGCGTAAATTGGGACATAATTGCAAAAGGGGTCCATGGGTCAAAGCCCAACGCTAGCATGTAGCTTAGGCTAAACGCAGTGCATGTGCCTGGTCCTAGAGGTACTTGCTTATGTATATACAGAGAGTTACCCCTGCTGTAGGTTATAATGCCCAGCTTTAAGATATACCAAGAGACACCGACGGACACTGTGTTGACAAATGATTGGCTGTGTTTTATGTACAAATTTTGGCTACTGAGCGCTAGAGGAAATCCGAACCCTGCTGAAATGGACTCCGTGAAAATTGCAGACAATTGCTACAGGACTGAGCTTGTCAATCTCTGCGTGAAAAGCTATAAAAATATCCCCAAGCTCTTAACCTTGGCAGGAACCTTCCAGGAAATCTATATTGTTGACGAAAATTGCGGTTGAAATAACTTGTGGCCCGTTTATAGTGCGGTTTATAGTGCGAATGAGCGATTTGCATATGCCTTGGTTTATCGAGACACTGCTTTGGATGAATTATCGAAATGGACCCAAGTCTTTGATAGTTAGCAGGGAATTCTAGTCAGAGCTACTAAATCCCATCAAGGCAAAGTAACCAATAGAAAAGTTACTATCAATTGCGCTTCCTTTTCATTTTGGTACTCTTCACTCTGACGCCTCATTTGATCAAAATAGGAAAAGACGCCGAGGATGTCAATATTGACGGTAGGGAAATCGCCTGAAGAAAATATTCAACGTCTACCGTTCTGGAAAGATGATATTGAACCAACAGCCCAGTGAGGCTATTTCAGTGGAGCCACCCAGCTTATCACCCTCTCCGATGAATTCCGTGAGTGAAAAATGATCACTTTTATTGCCTTCATCTAAACATCTTTACAGCTGAGGACCTTGCGATTACATCCGAAATGATAACTACCTCAACTCTCTCTTCTTAAAACGAACAACAAGCTCGCATTTTGATTACGAAGTTATTGGAGGGGGTCTACATAACACTTCGTCGTTCCGACTTTGCCGGGCCCAACGATATGCGTATGCTCCAGGGAAGGGCGTTCTCTTTTTACCCAATGGATTTGATGGATAAGCGTAAAGGTCGCAAAGTACGTTGCGTGGGGGAGAACAGATTTCTCTTCTATTTCAGCGAGCACGAAGCTCAAGCTATTGATCTGGTAGTCATTGAAGTAAAGCGCGCCAGCCTGTGCAGTACCAGCGAGGGACAAACCCTTGCATACATGACTATGGTATGGGCAGAGAGAAAGAAGAAAAAGAAATAAAAGGGCGGCGCTGTGGACGCCTGCTTGATAGATAGTCAAGAGTTCCAGTTCTTCCAATTTGATCATGGCAGTTCTTAGTTTTTATCCCGCTCTTCCTGTCTCTCTATTCTGATCGTTGGACTGGGATGAACATTGCCGCCTACTACATTGCCTCTTTCCTCAAGCATAGCCTCGAGACATCACCCTTGCAATATTCAGCAGCGACGATCTCTTCTCGTCCGTCTAGTTCATCATCACAATTGGGCCCTCCGCTGCTAGGTTATGGGCAGCGTTCCTCCCTTGACGCTGTTATGGAAGATTAATTCTGTTTCTTTCCGGGTAGATAGAAATGAGCACGAAACAGGGACATCGAAGATGACGATCTCGCGATACTAAACCCTTCTAGGTAACTATGGTCTGTGGTAGACTAAATGCATTTACACGTGACCGATCGCAACTTCCTGTGCTGACATTTACTGAGCCACCAGGCTGAGCCTCATAAAAGCGGCGGCAGTTTAGGGCCCCTTGTTAGGCAGCAAGGTGGAAACTATTTCCACGCACTTGAGAGTGAAGATTATTTGTTTGCCTTTGTGTAACGATGCTAATTGTTTCCTTTGTATAGTTGCCAACAGTAAGGGTATTTGCTGTATTATTGGAGAGGAAACAGTCCAAGACTTCAATACATATTGCCTTTGTCTAGTAGATCATAATCGTCATAGCATTTACAACCCCAAGCTTAGACGTCCAAAGTACGTCCAGTCCGGGAACTCTCGCGAGCCAACTCGATCAAACGAATGACCTCGCGGGCCTCCACGCCACTGGCAGGGAGTGCTCCCTCGCCGTTGAGAGCGCGGACAAGCTTGCGGTAGTACTCGGTATAAGTGGGGGGCTCCACGGTGGGAACCACCTCCTTAACGGGCTTGCCGTTCTGGATAGTAGTCAGAGTACCATAACGCTCGCTGGGCTCACGACCGTAACCCTTATCCTGGGGCATGATGCCGGCCTTGAGCTGGTCTTCTTGGATATCAAGGTGGTACTATGCAATTAGGTCAGTTTTCACTTTTCTTTATATAGCAGTGATCTGCGCAGGTAGATACTCTACCTTCTTGAAGCTACCCTTGTCACCACGCACCCAGAAGCGCAGCTGCTCGTCCTCGGGGCTGACCACGGTCGCCTTGGCGGTAACCATAGAGCCATCGGCATAGTGCAGCAGAACGGTGAAGGAGTCCTCGTATGAAAACGAGGTGACACCCCGGGCGGAGCCAATGAAAGCGGTTACCCGCTTGGGGAGTCCGAGCAGGTGCACGGCCTGATCCAGAAGGTGGGTTCCAAGGTCATAGATTGCGGAGCCACCGGGGATGACCTTGTTCTTCCACTTGTGAGAGTCGGCGGCCGGCACCTCGGGACGGTGGCGGTCGAAGTGAGTTTCATACTCGGAGATGCGGCCGAGCGAGCCGTTCTTGACGAGCTTGGAGAGGGTCACGAAGTCGGCATCCCAGCGGCGATCTAGGACAGCGATAAGTAGGGGTTTTTATAAACAGGGTGATAGGACATACTCTGGAACACGGCAAGCTGTTTGTTGTTCTTCTTCGAAATGGCGATGAGGTCATCAGCTTCCTGAGTGGTGGGGGTGAAGGGCTTCTCGCAGACGACTGATATATCTCACGTTAGTTTACCCATATCAATTGCTAATGATTTCTAGGCATTTCTAGTCACTTACCGTGCTTGCCGGCCTCTAGCGCAAGCTTGGATAGCTCAAAGTGAGAATCGGGGGCAGTGGTAATGATCACCACGTCAACCGCGGGGTCCTGGACCATCTCATCGGCGGTACGGAAAGACTTCACACCGGGGTGGTCCTTCTCGGCATCATCATCCTGCTTCGGAGTGCGCTGGACAATTGCGTAGAGCTTGAGCTCGGGGACCTCCTTCACGAAGGGAATGTGGAAGATCTTCGCGCTGAAGCCGTAGCCAACAACGCCAACATTATAAGTCTTGCTAGCCATAATGAAATATTTGGGATTTAATTGAGGGAGGAATCCGCGGGGGGAGAGACTATTTTATATGGCCCCGGAAATCATTTAGCGGGGGAGAGGGAAGGTCCTGGCGACGGCAACGTTGGCTCGGGTGGGTCCAAAAGCCGAGTCGGGTTCCCGTCGTGGCAATGTTCGACTTTACAACGGACTTCTATATTGTATGCTTGATAATCATGTATGAATATGAGTATATTGTATTCTACTTTCTTGTCATCTCGGTTTGTGCCGCTTTGTAGTCTCACTTGCGTTGACCAGTTTCTCACCTATGCCTGCACCCCCACACACCTCGTAACCTCGATGGCATCCTGTCAATTGTTAGCGAAGACTCATTTTCGGAAAACTATTCAAAACTTACCCGCAATCCCTGGGGTTGGCATAGCTCGCTCTGGTACACCAAATTCGGGTTCCCGACAAAATTGAAGGTGGGCACGTCATCTTTACCCACAAAGGACTGCACCGTGCTTTCGGCCATCCCGGCAATGTTATATGCCTGGGAAGGTCCTTCCTTAGCAGCTTCGATCTTCTGCTCGACAGTGCTCCGGACGTATTCCAGATATGGTGGGTTGCCCGGGTGTAGCACGTTATCGGCCGCGAGCACTGAACCAGGGACAATAGCCCCGAGGTGCTCACATAGCTTGACGTCAGTGGTGTACGCTGGTTTGTAATGGTCAATGAAGAGAAGTTCCACTTTCTTCACGTCACCCGAGGTAATCAATTTGTGTAGCGACTCATCGCTTCGACCGACGATGATGCGCACAAAGTCGCGCAATCCAGCTAGCTCAATGAGCATATTGGCAACTGCGGCGAACTCTGGGTTCAACTCTAGACTCAAGTAGCGTTCACCGCCGTTTCGACGGACTGCGTCGCCGAATAGGATCGCAGAGTAGCCCACGTAGCAGCCGAGCTCGATCATGGTCTTTGGCTTGAGTTCATTGATGAGTTGGGTGATGACTTTGCCCTTTTCGGGGCCAACATTTATTAAACGGTAGTCTTTCTCAAACTCGTGAATCAGATCGATCACCTTTTGGGGATGTCCACGGATTTCATCCAGGTTTGGCTGCCCATAGATGTAATGCAGGAGCTTCAGCTCCTTGCCAGCGTCGTTCTAGAGTACGAGTTAGGGTCATTTCTCACAATCAAAAGGGTCGGAATGTAATTCATACCGAGGAAGGTGCAGACATGACGTAAAGTTAGAGCAAGGGAATCGGATAAATGATCCAAGAAATTCCATATGGACATGCGAACTTATAAATGGCCTCGGGGATAATAAACATTGGAAATACTTCGGATAAAGGCAGTAAATCCGAGTCCGATCACCCACTCACCATCAATAGATGGCGTCAACATTCCAATCCCTTCAGGCAATCCGTGCCGACCCCATAAGTCGGAAACCTGATCCCATGTAATCGCCGGATATTTCCCCTGGAGGTTCGATCCAGAGAACCCCACCATTAGCTCTGATTTGTCTATGGAGTAGAGATCTTGATCTAGACCTCCGCACCGGCCCATAAAGCCCAAAACCCAACCCGCCCCAACCAGCAAATGGGCTGGGCTTTGGGCCCAGGGTAGAAGGTAGAAGCCCATTGGGCTTTTATAGGGGCCCAATAGGCCTCAAATAATACAAACATGCTAATTCTTGACAGATGCATAACTAAGTAATGCAGATTTTTCTAGTATTTTTGAGTTTTCAAAACACCGTATAAACCCCAAATTGACCGAGTTCTCATGATAATTAAGTTAATTCTAACGTTTAGCCTGCATTGACTACCTCAGTCGACAGAAAGATGCACCTACTTCTATCCGTATGAAATATATATATCTGCATATCGATAGTCTGTCACTTGTTGAACCCTCGTATTAGGCCAGATCAGGGCCGGCGGGCTGAGATCTTCCGAGGTAAGCTTACAGACTAGAAGATGCGTAAAAACCAGGCATTAATCAACAGGGTTATAAGCTCCAAGACTGGATTTATGCATAGAAATGGGCTTCATTGGGGGCCTCATGGGCCCCTACTAATGGGCTGTGGGCCTGAGGTCCGGGCCCAACCAAGCCCATTGTGGAGGTCTATCTTGATCTCTTGAGGTGCATCGTCACACCGAACTAGATCTGCAGGCCAAGCCCCCCTCATTAACGTCCACCCCAACTCACATTTTCACTTGTGACCATGTCCCTTCTATGTCACCCTTTCGGGGTACATTATTCCCTTTAGTCAAATGAAAAAACACCTCTACCCGCTCATTGCGGCGAGACATAGACTTAGCATGTCGATCAAATCCGCCAATGCTTCAGTCATATCGGGGACTTCATCACGAGTATTCTGGCATCTCCTTCGAATATGTCTTTCATTCTCGCTGTTGTTTGTCGATAACACCATTCTCGTGATCGCGGTATTCTTATCCTATCTCCGACCAACGGCCAATCGATACCGAGCGACACAACGGAATGTGCCATTTTACCCGAAAACAGTCCTCATCACGGGCATAGGTACAGCGCACGGCTTGACCCTAGCAAGGTCATGGGCTGTAGAAGGCCACCACGTGGTTGGGGCTGATGTTACAGACCTAGACCTGCCCGTACGCTCCGGCGGAAGTATGTCCAAGGCCCTAGTGGCATTCTACCAGATTCCCAAGGACCATTACATCTCCCGGCTACTCGACGTCATCCACCGCGAAAAGGTCGACCTGTGGATTCCATGCTCACCCAAGGGATCCTCCATTGAAGATGCGACAGCCCGACAGGTCGTTGAGAGTTGCACTAACTGCATGTGCATCACCTTCGATACCGAGTTGGCAGCTTGCTTCGCCCATCCTGATTCATTCAGGCAGTATGTGATCGAGAGGAATCTTCCTGTGCTTGAATACCATAGGGTACAATCGCGCGACTCGGTGCACAAGGTCTTGAACCGGTCGCCCGCCAAAACCTACCAGATCTCTCAAGCGACCCCATCTGCGAACGAGAAGGCTATGCTCTTGCCCAGGCGTACGCTGAGTAAGACATACGCCAAGGTCAGCGAGATCCAGATCTCCAATGATCGTCCTTGGATTATGCAGCAACAATCTCGTCTTGGAGAGCTATTCGCAGACCTACTTGTTGTGCGTGGCCGCGTTCAAGCCATTAAGGTTCGGCTTTCGGATTGTAGTTCCTCTACCTGGGGTGCGTCGCGTCTAGATGAGGCTCTGGCCGCTTCGGTCCATAGGCTCATGCAAACATTAGCAGCCAAAGGTGGTGTTCGCTCGACCGGCCATCTCTCTGTCAGACTCTCAGTCGATGAAGAGTTCGACGCGCATTCTGTCCGACACACTATCTACATCGCCGGCTGTACACCTGGCGCCAGAGCTGTCGATAACCTGCTGCATAATGTGCCTTGCCCTATCTCCGGCTATCTATCTGTGTTCCCTTCCAGTTCAGTTGATACAGCCAACATAGCAGCGACACTATCAGCAACCCGTTCAGCGCCAACATTTGCCCCAGCCGCTATTCTTCCCGCTGCTTTTTTGCAGTTTTCATTGTTTCACTTTGCACTCACAGCTCTTGAAGTTGCAGAGGCAGAGCTGGTGAGGCTGTTGTTTTGGAAAGATCCCCTGTTCTGTTTTCTTGATCCGGTTCCCTGGTGGTGGCAAGTACATGTCTATCAACCATTGCGAGAGATCTGGGTGTTGATGAAACAAACACGAGAAGCGGGATTGAATCTCCTTTGACTATGTATGTTAACATGAGTATATGAGAAATGAGACTATGATGTAAAGTGACAGGCATCCGCCAAGCAAATGTGTGGCGGAGTTCCCGAAATAGTAACGGGCTGTCGCCTGGGCAGCGGATGTGGACACACGTATGCCCCCGAAACAAGAGAGGGTAAGGCAGATACACAAATTGTCAGATTGGATATCTTTGAAAAACTTCAATTTAAATATCCCTCCCGTTGTGATTTCAACATTGCGACATTGCGACATTGCGACGGAAAAACAAAACAAAACAAAACAAACCGATACTTTTCTCCACGGAGCCTAGCCTGGCCAAGATAGAGAGATCCCCCAAGTCTCATTCTCCAGGTCTCGACTCTGTTCTTGTCTCGTCTCGCACATTCTGTGTGTCCCGTATGACTTCACGATAGACTATCTTTTCACTTCGAGACCAACCCCTTCCTTCCCTCCAAGTGAATAAGAAAAGCGCCACACCCTTGCAGCGCTCCTACACACAAAATCATGTTTCAAATGCCGCGGCCTTCAGGCGGAAGTCTCGGACGTACCAAAAACATCCTACATTTCATACAAGGATTCAGTATCTTCCTCGCATGGGCCATAACCATCGCGATCTGGACTAAGGGAGGCAGTGGAATCGATGGGCGCACAGGCTGGTACTGGGGTCTGGTGAGTTTGACATTTCTGCGTTTCTGATACAAAAGAGAGCTCTTTCATTCTGACATATAATCGGATGGCAGTGCTGGCTAAGTATTCCTGGCTTAATCTACCTGGTGGCAGTGCCGATGTGGCCTCGAGCCCGACGCTTCGGTAACGTCTATGCATTCGCCTGTGTCGATATCCTCTATTCGATTCTCTGGCTCAGTGCCTGGATCTGTCTCGCTTCGTACGTCGCCCAAGGAAAGTCCAAGGGAGCGAGCAGCGACGATGACAAGAAGTCCACCGACACCAAATCCACCACCAGGAGAGCCGAGGAGAAGAAGGAGGAGGAGAAGACCGGATGCGATAACTGGGCATACGGAAGCGCTACCAAGTGCAAGCTGAGCACAGCAACTACAATTATTGGCGTTATCATCTTGTACGTGAATTTCTTCTATCTCCGAGACGACGATTCCTTGAATGAAACTAACAGAAAAAAGCGTCCTCTTCGTCATCACCGCCTGGATGTCCTTCCGCAACGTGATGCACTTCCGCCGCACCGGCACCCTCCCCGACGCCGTCTCTGACCCCACCTTCGCTGCGCAGAGCAAAGCCGCCTTCTCATCGAACCCAGCCCACGACTTCGAGGAGGATGAGGATAACTTCCGTTCCGGCCGAGGCGGCGGCATGGGCGCCTCATCCCACGGCGACCAGGATGAGGACTACGCCCTCCTGCACCAGAGCGAGGTGGATGACCTAGGCAACGCACACGGCCGGACCGCGATGCAAGGCTCCTACGATCCCACCGCTCCCGCGCCCGGGGGCATCCTCCATGATTACAACAGCAGCACCGGCTATGGTGGTGCGCATGGCCAGCACTATGTGGAACCGTCTACTCATTACAATCCCTCGGACTACACCCCGTCTGAGTACACTGCTCCTCCCACTGGGTTTGGTGGCTCATCGGTGAGTGGGTACGGAAGACGGCCCAGTTGAGTAAAAAGTGTTGTCAGTGTAGATGGAAGAACTGCTCAGTGAAATACCCGGAGGATTGATGAATCGTCTTGCTTTTTTGGCGTCTTGAACATTGACCATTGAGCGCTGTTGGGCGCACCGCTGTTTACTCTGGGCTGATGCCCTTGCCTTTACCATGTTTCTCATGGGTCTTTTGGCCCTGGGTTTACGATTGTATGTCCTGTCTGATTTCATTGGATCTAGTAAAATATAGATGTATGCATTGTAAAATTATATGTCCCGGTGGTGTTTCGTATTTAGATTAGTAGAATATGTTGGTAGACAACATGTGTAGATTATATCTGGAAGGATGAGATCCCATCAACATATCATAGAACAAGGTTTTTTTTAGAAAGCCTAAAGTCATAGCATACTCACTTTTTTCTTCCTATCACTACCAATATCCCCGAGGTCTCACCTTGCCCAAGAAGAAATTAGTATAGATAGGACAAGGCACTAGTATTCTGCCACCGCCCTCGATATCAGTGGGTTTATGGACAGCTTGCCCTCTGGCCATCATCATCTCTTGACAAGTACAATTCCGAATATTGACCTCAAAGTGAACCGTGCTTTGTTGAAACCTAGACAGTACATCCTGAACTGTATCTTGTATGAATTAACCCATTCCACCACCAGACCTCACCATTCGGCCTCCAAACACCCGCCCCGTCACACCGCAGCGCATATGTATACTAACAACTCCAAGAAGCAACACCGACCTTACAACCCCAAACCCGAGACCAAAGTCTCCCCACTCCCAAAAATGGCCAGCGAAATCGACCTCTACAACCAATACCCATTGTATATGGACCCAAGCACTCAAACACTCA